GGGGAGGACGGCGTTCTATGGTGGTGAAACCGGCCTGGGCGAGTGTCTTCCACTCTTGGGCGAACTCGGTGGGGCCGGTAAGATGACCTCATCATCCGGAGGGTGCTCGCCGTGTATTTGACCTTGGCGTACTTGGTGCCGTAGAAAGAAGTAGGCCTGGTTCGACTGGCCGTGAACGGGGAAGGCGGCTCTCGTCATGTTGGGCGTTGGCTGGGCAGGGATGGAAAGGTGATGTGATAAGAGTTGTGGATCAGATGTGAGTGTGTAGGTATCTTGATGCTGGATGTTGGTTGAGAATTTGTGCGAAAGTAGGCGGAGGGGAGGAGGTTTATATAGACCAATCTTCGGGTTTGCCCAAGCGGATGTGAGGAATGTTGTCAACCGGGTAGAGTGCAGCTACCCGTCCTCGGATGCGCCAGCAAGCCGGCAACATCGCGATACCCGCGGTTACCGCTTGTCCACGCCGCCTTCGGCTGGCTAGATGACGTTTTCATCACCATTGACATGCCGGATTCTCCTTCTTGCAGACGGATGTGCAAGCTGAATACTCGCGGCTCTCCACCTTCTGCAGGCCTGAACGCATCGCAGAATCCAAGTCAATAACTCGATATTGCCGATCCCACGACACAGACAGGGCGGTAAGACGACAGCAATGAGGCGGCCAGCTATCTGCCTTTGCCATTGGATAACTTCGTGTCTTAGGTGCCTGGTAATATGTTCTGATCACCGAGGGGGTTGACGCCTCTGGAGCACGAATGTTTCGAGCGCGATCGCGCACCCGTTTAAGCTGGGCCACGACGAGAGATCTGCACTCGGCATTGGGCCATCGCGGGCCGCGTTGCGGAACGTCGCCCGCGGAGCTGCAGGGTGCGGAAGCCATGCAGGCCGGGCCAGGCCCCGCAGGGACTGGAGGCGGTGGTTGGCCGAGAATAACGGCCGAGCTGCAGGATGCTGTAAAAGAAGCACATGCATCCCGATTGATCGCTAGCAGTTCTGCAGCGTGGGTTTGGTGGGAGCTGAACTGAACACAAGCAATATGTGACTTTGGGGAGGGGCAGAGGGGCAGAGTTGGGTAAGTCCGGTTGGACTAACTACCTACCTAGGGAGGCAGGCATGGCTAGATCGGCATCTCATCAGCCAATCTGTAGTCAAGAATCCCCTACTTGTTTACGGAGTGAGGGAGGGGACTTAGATCCACATGGGGACCTTGGTAGGTAGAGAGGTGGTGAGTGTGGTGGCACGACGTCTCTGACATGCAAGCCCGTGTCGAATGGCTCACCAGAACGAGCTGCAAGTTGACTCTCGATGGCGTCGAGGGGCAAAAATGCAACGCCGGCCGAAGTGAGGTGATCTGGAAATGGAAACGAGAATGTGTAGTAATATGTTGTCACCTTCACATCATTCGACAGAATCAAACTTTGGGCAGCTCCATAGCAGCAGACGTGGATAGCCCGAAGCCGGCGTCTCTCTTTACCGCAGTTGCCGTTTGGTCGGTCCCACAGTCGTTGAGTGTCTTGGCTCGGTTGTTCAAAAAAGAGAGTGTCTGTCCCGAGTGTGTTGCCTAAGAATTCCGCACAAAGATCGACTCCCAAGCGCTTTCCCTAGGCTCCTTGGCTTTCGAACGGGCGGAATGATATCGGCCTCCTAGCACAAAGCGCTCGGCTTGTTCTTTCAACCAAGATTCCCTACCCACCATCCAATCTCTAATCCCACGCTCAAGATCCCAACCCGGACCCCAGATTTTCTCCCTAGTCGCTTCTGTTCGTCGCCAGGGCCATGTTAGGCGGGCATAAAATCCGGCTAAGCCACCATAGCCCCCCAATCGGGTCAGAGGCCGCATGACATGAAAGTACCCCTCTAGGACTTGTTTTGCCTCGGCCTCTGTCAAGGGTGCGATTGAGTCGTCTTCCTCACCCAAATGAAAAGCAGCCACCATACGGATCGTGAGAGCCGGCAGATTGAGCTTGTCCTTGACCTGGGCAATGGTTTCCGCCCACTCCTTATACACGGCATCCCCTTTCAGCGGCCACTGACCGCCGATGTAAGGGGGAAACACCATCTCCACGAAGCGCAAGTAGCCAAGGCAGTCCACCGGCACAACGTCCCGGAGGAACCGGCTGACGGCTAGCCGGCGGGTTTGGTCAAAGCCACTCTGACGCGACGGCCCGAACATGTTTAGCTGTGGGCTATCGACCACTGCAAACCGATTCTGAGAAAAGAAGACCGAGCTTGCGTCATGACGCATGGCGCGGCTGACGAGGAACAGTGAGGTGGGTGGCGCCCAGCACCTACAGGTAGACGAAGCGGCAGCATGCGTGAGTTGGCAATAGCACCCAACGTAGTTGGCAGTATCCCAATACGGCCTCTCCGAACAGTGGTTGAATTGGCAACCGTGGTGAATTCCCGGCTCCCAGTCATGATTTCCCCTCCCCACCCAACTCGGACAAGAGGGCTGACATGCCACGTATTTGCCAGGAGACACGGTCCATAGGACTTCTTTTAGCGGCGTGACGAGGTCTGTGTATTCTAAAATGTGCAGACGCAGCTCGCGTGGTAGCCCAGCCAGACCACTGACCGGGGACACTGGACGCCGAAGAGGCGGCAGTGACAAGCTCGGCTGTAGGCTGCGACACCTCAAAACCGCATTCCGAGCAAGATTGCGAAGCATAGAATTCGGGGTTTTGGATAGTCTAATATGGCAATTCTTCAACGGCGGGAAATGGCGAAACGCGTCTAGCACCATGATGGCCAGCTCAGTATCCCGGCTGTGAATGTCGCACACAAATGAGAGCTCAAGCCGCCCTGGAGTAATGTGCCGACCTAGATAGGCAGCTGTTTTGTACCATTCTGCCAGCATAGGCTTCGTGGAAGGGTGGGACCGCCGGAGCGGCGGATCGTGCCTCTCTCCTCCATCGCTGTGACCGGAGTATCTGCAATCTTGATCACATTTCAGATCTCGAATGCCGTAGTAGATTTCGAATAGGCGCGGCTCAGTACAACACCCGCCCCGGCCCCTCCCAACGGCATCTCGGGAGTGACAGGACGCCTGGTTGAGAATGATTTTGAGGCTGGTCAAGGATGCGACGGATTTGGCTCTAAGGTCTCGCAAGGGTGACAGGGAATGGAGGGCCTCGTAGTGACAGAAGAACTGGTTTGAGGAATACAACAGAGCTGAAGTTTCAGAGTAGATGGTGCGGCAGGTGAGCAGAAGGCCGTAGAAGCCGACGGGTGGAATTCTGGGAGACGTGTGGCGGTACGGTTCGCACAAGCCGTAAGGTCCGCACAAGTCAAACGGGTCTTGCATGGAGAGGCCACTAGAAAAAAAGGACTGGTTGTAGGTCCCAACCAGACGATAGATGCGGTCCCGGATTTCGGAGGAGAGACGAAGAAAACTCGGGCAGATCATAGTGGGTTGGGTGGGTTAGGTGGGTGAGTGTGAGTATGTCGTCATGTACGTAGTTGTTTATTTTTTTTTTTTTATTTTTTTTGGATATGGGGAGATTCAGGAGGTGTAGAAGTTAAAGTTCAATTGTTGGCTACCATGTCCGTTTTTGACTGCTGCCACGACCGGCGTCTTCTGTGAGGGGGAAGTTGGGAACCAATCAACAAATATTTGCGCAGGCAGCAACGGGCCATCATGCCATGTCCGATTTTTTTTCTTGAGCCACGGTGGTTGCTGGTTGCTGGTTGGCTGAATGCAAGCCAAGAAATGGTTGGGGGACCAACTGCAGCATCTTGCAACATCATCCGAGGAGAGAAAAAGAATATGATAAGATTTGGTTTTGTTTTGGAGCATTTCAAGGCGAGAGAAGGCATAGCTTATCGTGGAAGAAAAAAAAAAAAAAAAACACTAACGTTAGCTAACTAGTTAACTAACCCCTGTAGTTAGTATAACAACATTTGTTGACAACTGGCGCCTCACTTCATGCTGCAAGAAACCTACCTGCGTGGATTTTCCCTCATTCCCCATCCCCATCGAATCCGCCGTTCTTCATCCTCAATATCCAAACTCCGTACGTATCCCGGCCGTGCCACCGAGACCATCGTCAGTCAGCCTCGATGCCCGCAAATTGGTTGTCGTCGATATGGCTGACTTGGAGCGTTTGGCCCGACTCCGCCACTGGGATCACGAAGACTACACAGGCCCGTAACACGACTCGGAGGATTGGTTCTTGGTACCGGCCGGCCGAGAAGAACAAGTCCGAGATGTATTGTAAACTGAGATGCACCGTGTCTTAATAATCTGTGTACCGTCGCCAGGTGTTTTGTGTGCAAGTGATAGACCACCCGATAACACAATCTGGCAAGTCGCATACAACCTTGAACCAGGATACGACGCTACCAAGTAAGGTATGTCCATGTACTCAGCTCCTGGGGTATTTAACAATGGCGTTCCGAACACCCGCCAAGACAACCAACCGTTGGTAGGTAGTGCGGCCTGACGGGAGGCTTGGGCTCTCAGCTTGGTGGCTCAGTTCACCTGTATCCAGTGATTGGCCCAGACCATGCCTACCATACCTGACGAAGGCATATATCGTTGAACCATCCAACCGCCGCACAACTGGAATCATGCAGCACCTTCCTGTGGAGCTCTTGGAGCGCATTTGTAGTTTTCTCTGTTTCCATTGCCAAGCGCCATGTTACTTCCCAAACGCCGACATGAAGGATGTGGTGTCGGACAAGGCGTCTCTGGCGCGTTTCTGCCGAGTTTCCAAGTCGATATGCGCCGTCGCCCAGCCATTTGTCTTTCACTACTACGCCGCCGGCAACCTCACCTCGTACTATCGCGACCTTCCGACAAGACCTGGGTATCTGTACAGCGGTGAACCTGAATTGTGGTCCCACTCCAGCGACCTGCTTCCCTTCGTTCTCCGTTCCATCATCCTCCGCCCCGGCCTCGCCAGATGCGTTCGGTCCCTACAGTTGATCACCCTTCACCACTACGTCGAGGAAGCTTTCACCTGGGAAGACGGACCAGAAGGCGACATCGCGCCGGCCATCCGAAAAGCAAGCACCGACCTCGGCCTCATTGCCTACAACGTCTTCCATCCGGAGTACATGGGTTGGGTCCGTGAGAACCTTGACCCCGAAGACCGCCCGCGCATCACCATCGGCTACGTGCACCACACGCTCGAACAACTCGCCATCCTCCTCTGCCCGCGCGTCAGCACCCTCCTCCTCCTAGCCGACTTCTCGCCCCCCACCGGCAACCTGCTCGCCTCCCACGGCACCGCCCTCACCACCATCGCCCTCGTCTCCCACGACAGCCGCGGCCACTACGCCCACGCGGGACCCATCCTCGCCCTCGCTCCCAACCTACACACCCTGCACGCCATCGACGCGCGCAACCACGACGCCCGCGCCCGGCCCGCCCCGGACCGCCTCGCCGGCGTCGCGCCCTTCTCTACCAGCACTACGACCACCGACAGCGACCCCCGCCCACCACCACCACCACTCGTGTTCCCCGCCCTACAAAAAGCCGCGCTGCACGACCTCGGCCTCGCCGCGCTCGCCGAGTTTGTGCGGAACGCCCCCGCCCTGCGCGAGCTACGCTACACCGAGACCTGGACCGAGGACGACGGGCGCGACCCCGAGTACTATTGGGGCTTGGCGGGGTGCTTGGAGCCCGCGCGGGAGACGCTCCGGCGCTTGGTGCTCAGGGTGCCGGTCTCGCCAAGGTTGGGGGCTCAGGCGACGTCGGGGTTGGGGTCGGGGTTGGGATCATCGGGCGCGGTTGTGGGGTTGCTGAGAGGGTTGGTAAGGCTGGAGGTGTTGTCAGTTTCGCAGGAGGCCGTTTACGGGTGTGGTGCTGTTGGGGGTATGGTGCGGCCGCTGCGGGGGGGGGCTGGCTGGGTTTCTGCCGCCGTCGCTTGTGGAGTTGTGTATTTCGCAGGTTTATCGGGATTTTGAAGGGGACTTGAGAGGGCTGGCTCGGGACGCTCCCCGGTGCTTGCCGCGTTTGAGGTTGGTGACGGTCGGCTGTGGTGATATCGAGATAACCGTCCCCCAAGGCGCTGAAGGGGAAGTGCGAGGATTCTTTGGAGAGAAGATTAGGACGGAGCTGCGGGAGGTGTTTGCAGAGGTCGGGATTCTGTTGACATGGGGTCCACTGATCGAGGACGAGGGGGGAGACGTTCCGGGGTTACCAGTGTATGAATCGCGCCCCGACGGTGACTCAGGTTGGCTGTGGGAACTTGTTATACAGTAGGTACCTAGGTAGTTTGAGTCAAAAGTTGTTTCACTGGGATTCAAAGATTACCTATAATATGTACTCCGGACTTTGCCCAGGACTCCAGTTCGTTCTGGCCCGAGGTCCCGTGTACTAGAGAAGTGGATAAGTTGAACGGAAAATTGATTTGAGAGTAGGTACATGTGCCTTGCCTTTGTAGTCACTTTTGCTTTTTTTTTCTCTTGACGCCTTCGATTTTATCTGTGTTATCTTGGTTTCTTATCTCTCTGTCATTGCTTTCTTATTGTGCTTTCGAGTTCGGCAGCTTTTAGGCAGTTCTCAGCGTATGCAGCCAGGGTTTGGTACCCGGCTGCTGGTCACGAAAAAAAAAAAAAGAAAAACGTTGGAAAATTCGGGGGAAGTGTGCCCGAACTCAGACTACAGTCAAAGAAACAGGAACAATGAATCCCCACAGTTTTCTCAGCCTTGAAAATCGCCCCCCATTCGACTGCAGCCTAGCTTACTTTGGGCAAGTGCCCTGTTGTGCGATGCGAAAATCTCATCCAATGCCGCTCGCTTCCCCGCAATTTGCATGGCCCGAGCGGCGGCGTTCTGGGCCCAGATACAGCATTTTGATGTCGGGGATCGGAAGCTTAGTGCTTTCATCAAAACAACACTTAAAAGTACCACCCATGGTGGATGCTTATGCTTTGGTTTGACGTCAGCCATGGCCGATGCCCTGGGAATCCACCGGTGCCCAGTCTGCTCCAAGACATACAAGAGACGCGAGCATTTGCAAAGGCACCGCAGCACGCACACGAGGGAACGTCCGCATCGCTGTATTGTGTGCGGTGCCTCATTTCAGAGGTCCGACGTGTTGAAGCGTCATCTCCAGACCTGTGACGGCCCATCAACCCCATCATCCAGTCGCCGCCGCGCTTGCGATCGTTGTGTCCGCCAGAAGAAGGCTTGCAACTCAGCCCAGCCCTGTTTCAATTGCCAGCGACGATCGGTCGTGTGCCACTATTCAATCCCACCGTCAGCCCCCTCGGCCCCCTCGGCATCATCCCAGCCCGCAGGTCCCCCTGTTATCGATGATCCATCTAACCACAACAACCTCGACGAAACTACCGCCCACCCCGATGTCCCTCAAACCGACCAGCCGCCGAGCGAGGAGTCTGTTCTCGCCGACTCCACCTTCGACCATGTGCCGTTTGATGACCTCGACACACTAATCCAGGAGGCAGTCTCGCAGTTCCAGATCCCGGACAGTTGGTTTGACGTCAGCCCCTCGCACTCAAGCGGGACAACGGCGTCTCTTGCCGTCGAGCCGGACCTCTTCCATAAGCCCCCTAATGATTCCCTTAGTTCGCGCTACCGTGGCTACTCGTTCCATTTCTTGAGTGACTTTACGAGCAGGACTGGCCTAGTCTCGTCGTTTGAGTGTGCCACTCTTGCCCAGCGCCAACAGATTGTCGCTGCGTTCCATCCGTCCTATCTCCAACAGCCGCCGCTCGATCCCTTCAGCATTGTTCCACCGTCAACTTTACCGCCCGAAGAACCCACTTCGCAAGTTTCGGGGTTTGTCTCCAATGTCGGGCCGGTAAGCAGCGGCCTGTCTTCATGGTCCCTCTGGCTGCACAACCCCATCGTTATCAATCTGCAGCAGGTGGTTCTGCTCCTGAAAAACGTCGTAAGGGTGAAGCCAAACAATAGCACTATTACTCTGGACTGGTCAGCAGCCCTAGAGCAACAGTGTTTGCAGTTCTTCTCACCTCCTCGGGTTGTCAAGTTCATCGAGCTGTACTGGTCTGTTTGGCATCCCAACGTCAATTTCCTCCATCGACCTACCTTCAACCCGACCGCCACCAAACCGATTCTGCTGGCCACCATGGCTCTGATTGGTAAGCGCCCTGAGGCCTTCCAGTCGTGTTGATGTGCGTTCTGACAAGAACGGTAGGAGCCTGTGTATCCCCGGATCGTGCGGACAACGATGATGCCAAAATGTGGTTCAACTGTGTCGAAGAGATGGTGTTTACCGACGACGACTTCTGTAGCGATATGGAACCCCCCGCCGTGAGCGACATCGACACGCCAGTCTACACTCCCGAAAACCGACTAAAACTCCAGGCCCTACAAGCGGCCTATCATGTGTGTCTGTACCAAAACTGGGAGGGTTCGGACCCAAGCAAACGGCGCATCAGACGACACCGTTTTAGCACTGTGGTATCAGTAAGGCGCCCCCCTAGAAGAAGGACCTTTGAATGTCTTTGCTCAACCGTGCCCAGACCGCTCGAGACCTTGGTATCGACACGGCTCGACACATGGACTATAGCGCACAGCCCAAACACGAATTCATCTGGTTTGAATTCGTCATGAGGGAGGAATTGATTCGGTGCGTCTTTTGTAGTCGCCCGGACCCTGTGCAACGTTACCGCTGACTCAATAGCAGCATTTTCACATGGATCTTCCTCCTCGATACAGCCTTCGTCATCTTCAATAATCTGCCCCATCGGATGGTCATCAAGGAGATGAAGATGGACATGGCGAGTCCCGAGGCCTGCTTCCAGGCGGAAACGGCGGATGATTGTATCGGTCAGATCTACCGCTGGATGCCGTCGACTAGCCCGTTTTGCACTTTGCTTCTTCGTGACGCCATCGAAAACCTGTGTATCGACGTCATGTCGCCAGAAGTGCAACAACAGTATTCTCAACTTGGCCCGCTGAACTTGTTCGCAATGGTTTCCGGTGAGTTAGGCACAACCATCCGGTCCTACCGCGCGTGCTGACGAGTTGACCTTTTTCTAGCGATCCACTACATGATCTTTCAGCATCAAAACCTATTTGCGGTGGAAGGTCAGCTGGTCCCCATCCGCAACGGACTGCGAAATTGGATCGGTATCTGGGAAAGGTACGCCGAGGTGCCGTCAGCCCTCTCCCCGCACGGTTTACTGCAAGAAGACTGCCCAGCGCCAGCCTTGATGTGGAAGCGTATAGGTTTCTTCCGCTCGTCGCCCGAGTACTGGTTGCTTGGGAGTCTCCTCACGGATCGCCTATCAGCGACGGCGGTGACATCCACGGATATGTCCTCGGCAAATGGCAACCTGTCAGGTCCTTTTCCAACTTCGGCGAACGCTCGTGGCAAAGCTAGGTCCGCCGAGCCGATCCTCGAGAAGTATGACCAGACGAGCATGCGCCAGGTCAATGAACTCATCAACGGCTTTCAGAAGTTCAACATTGGGTGATCCCGGCTAAGGACAGGCAGGTCGGTCGGGTGATGTTGGACAATTTGAACCCCACCGCTCCGCGAGACGTGGCGTTGAGAATCCGGGGAAATCAGGGGATTAGGGGAAGTGGACTACTAGTAGCACATGGGTACTCCACTGTACAAAATGGGAGGGGTATCCTTTTCGGGGGAGCTGAGAATCCCCAACGACAGCCTCCCACACCCACTCCGCAATTCCGCCCACCCCCCTCTCACTCCCATCTTCGGGTCCGACCTATCCAAACCATTCCGCTCATTCCCACTAATGCACCTCATCCCACCTCTGCCGGCCCCGGAAATCCCACATTGGTCCGACCCCGATCGACGCCGCGGGCAACAGCGGTGGCATACGGCGACATGGAGGCCGTGTTGTGCCAATCTGGCAAGGCCTAGTGTTAATGAAGTTGAGATGAGTACTTCAGAGTCAAGCCCCCCCGACTGTGTCTTCGGACGAACACGCCGGATGCAGAAGAGACGAACACCTTCAACTCGCTTGTCATGGCTCTGCTTACAACCGTGTTTCCCGTCCTTGTGGCGGTAGCAATCGTGGTTAGGCTTTTACTCTCCGGCAGGAGGCCTAAAAGCCTACCCCCTGGCCCGCCAACACTGCCCATTATCGGGAACCTTCATCAAGTATGCCTGGTCCGGGAGTTGAGTTGTTGTTCAAACCGGGTACTGATAATGTGTAGATGCCCACACGCGATGCGCACCTTCAGTTCGAGAAATGGGCGCGCGAGTACGGTCCCGTCTACAGCCTGATCCTCGGCACTAAAACACTCATCGTCCTCTCGAGCGACAAGGCCGTCAAAGACCTGCTAGACAAGAAGAGCAATATGTACTCCCACCGACAAGAGATGTACATCGGGCAGACGCTGTGCAGCGGGGACCTCCGCGTCCTCATGATGGGATACGATGCGAGGTGGCGCATGTGCCGGAAGCTAGTTCACACGCTACTCAACATCTCGGCTGCCAAGTCCTACGTTCCTTACCAATTACTCGAGAACAAGCAGATGCTGTACGAGATGATCACCCAACCCGAGCGTTGCATGTACAACATCCGCAGGTATACCAACTCGTTGACGACCACCATGGTCTTTGGCTGGCGGTCGTCAGCGTACGAGGACGAGAAGATGATGCAGCTCTTTGAAGGCTTCTCCGAGTTTGCCGAGCTCAACCAAACCGGGTTGGCCGCCCTCGTCGACTTCTTCCCCTGGCTCCGCTACCTCCCCGACTTCCTGCTGCCTGTTCGCGCCAAGGCGAAGGAGCTGCACAGGAAGGAGAAGGCCTTGTATCTCGGACACTGGCTCAAGGCCAAAGAGGAGACCAAGGCGGGCACCATCATGCGCTGCTTCAGCGAGGACCTCGTCGGCGCCCAAAAGACAGAAGGCTTCTCGGACGACCAAGCCTCCTACATCACCGGCACGCTCCTCGAAGCAGGGTCCGACACCACCTCCAGCACGCTCTATGCCTTCGTTCAAGCCATGGTCCTCTACCCGGAAGTCCAGCAAAAAGCCCAAGCCGAAATCGACCGCGTCGTCGGCCCCACGCGCATGCCCACCATGGACGACGAGCCCAACCTCCAATACATCCGCGGCATCGTCAAGGAATCCCTCCGCTGGATGCCCACCACCATCATGGGCGCCGTCCCGCACGCCGCCACCCAAGACGACTGGTACGACGGCCATCTCATTCCCAAGAACGCCGGCGTCGTCAACAACGTCTGGGCCATCAACATGGACCCGGCGCGCCACCCAGACCCGCGCCGCTTCGACCCGGACCGCTACCGCGACGACCGCCAGAGCCTGGCCGACGCAGCCGCCAACCCGGACGCCACGAAGCGCGACCAGTTCACTTTCGGCGCCGGCCGCCGCATCTGCCCGGGCATCCATGTCGCGGAGCGCAGCTTGTTCCTGGGCGTGGCGCGCATGCTGTGGGCGCTAGACATCAGGCCCGCGACGGACCCCGTGACGGGCAAGGTGGTGCTGCCGGACCAGCAGAAGCTCACGCAGGGGTTTGTGTGCCAGCCGGTGGAGTTTCCGGTGGCGATTACGCCGCGGTCGGAGGCCCGGAGGCAGATGGTCGTGGAGGAGTGGTTGGCGGCTGAGAGGGACTGTCTTGATCCGGTTACGAAGCAGTGGAGGGTGTCGCCTTTGGGGGAGGGGCGGGCGAGGAAGGGATAGGGTAGGGGGTATTGGGTTTGGGGGTGTGATTGGGGGTGATTATCAAGTAATGTTTTGTTCTTGTTTACCAATGTCGCTGAGGCTGGGGAGGGGTGGTCGGGACATGAGGATGATACCATTTTTGAGTTGCTACCAGTCATGCAAGACGGCAGTTTGGGGGATGTTGACAATATCGTTGCCCATTGATAGTTGGAATTTGAACAACTTCACGCATAATCCTGTCTCAAGGCCTGCATCTGTAACAAACAAAAGCCGGACCCCAGGTGGTGATGCAACTTCAGGGACGAAAATGAAAGTACCCCAAAACCCCAAAGACCCTCTGTTCTTTCGACCTGGTATATTTCTGTTAGTTACTTGGTTTCAAATTCTAAGTTTCTTCGTAATAACTAACTAATATATTTGCATTCATTATTGTTTTCCTAGGCGTTCATTTTGCTTGATTTTAAAACTCTTCCGTTACTCTTCTTGGACTCGCCAATTTTCATTGTATTTTAAAACTCTTTCAAGAGTTCATTTGTTTTGCTCTGAGAATGCCATCAAAAGGGGTCCCCGAACGGCGTTCAACGTCCCCACAATCCCCCTGCCTTGATCTTACCCATGAGATGAACCCAGATAGCCGAGAATGGAGCCCCGTGGGGTAATGGCCTGGCAGATGGACCCGAGGGACCGGACGGGTGACCATCCTCCCACATCATCCCACATGCTCCTCCTCCGATATCCACACCCTCCCACATCTCCCACATCTCCCACCACCACTCCGCCCTCCGATCGACAATTTGGGGAACCGCATGCCAAACGGAAACTGCCATACTCCAAAGCCGGCTAGAGAAGGGACGAACCCCGTGTCCACTCGGCTACGAGGACGGCATGGAACATGGAGAAGGTGGGCCGCATATTGTTAGCGTCAGGGGTCGATGATAGTGCTGAACCTGCGGTCACCTCCCAGCTTAGATAGTCTAATTGTATCGTCAGAAGACTCCAACGGCCCCAAACCCAAAGTATCTGTGACGTGTATTATGCAGCTGGTGTGAACTCGACTTCACTGTTACAGTTCTTGCAGCGAAGGACAGTCAAACCCACGAGTCAGGCCCTAGAAGTCTCACACCCCATACTGGCAATCGCCATGACACGCACCACAACTGCCCTCGTCGTGCCTGAGCTCAACGGCAAGTTTCAGCTGCGAGAGGTCCAACTCGATGACATGCAGCCGGACGAAGTGCTGGTCGAGATCCACGCCTCGGGACTCTGCCATACTGACCTGTCGTTTGCGACGGGCGTGCTCCCCTGCGAACCCAACGCCGTGCTCGGCCACGAAGGTGCGTACGAGACGATACCTCACCCCAATGCCCTACCTTCCTACCTGCACCCGCGTACCCCACACCAAACGAGTAACTAACCCCCCCATCCGCACACCACAGGCGCCGGCGTGGTCCTCGCCGCCGGATCCGCCGTGCAGCACGTCAGCGCAGGCGACAAGGTCCTCCTCTCCTTCTCGTACTGCGAGGCCTGCGCGGCCTGCACCTCGGGCCACCCGGCCTACTGCCACGGCTTCAACGCGCGCAACTTTGGCGGCCGCCGGCCCGACGGCACGCCCTCGCTTTTTGCATCCGCGTCCGTACCCGCTCCGGGGGAGCAGGCGGGTGCAGGTGAGGGGACTGCCGGCAAGGGTTTGTTCAGCGCTTTCTTTGGGCAGTCGTCCTTTGCGAGGCACACCCTGGCGCATCGGTCGACGGTGGTGAGGGTGCCGCCGGAGACGGACCTGGCGTTGTATGCGCCGCTGGGGTGTGGCATGCAGACGGGTGCCGGGGCGATTCTCAACTCGCTTGGGGTGAGGCCGGGGAGTTCAGTGGCTGTGTTTGGGGTGGGGTCTGTTGGGATGGCGGCAGTGATGGCGGCGGCGAAGATTGCGGGGGCTGGGGTGGTGGTGGCGGTGGATTTGCAGCAGTCGAGGTTGGAGTTGGCTATGAAGCTGGGGGCCACGCATGCGGTGCTGGGGTCGGAGAAGGATGTCGTGGGGAGGATTAGGGAGATTTGTCCGCCGCTTGGGGTGGACTATGCGGTGGATTGTACCGGGGTGCCGGCGGTGATCCGGACGATGATAGATTCTCTGGGGACGAGAGGGCGGGGGGCGACAGTTGGGGCCCCCGGGTTTGGGAAGTGCGTGAGCGTGGACGTGATGGAGCATCTGACGTACGGGAAGGAGTATGTTGGATGTGTAGAGGGAGATAGCTTACCGGAAAAGGTGAGTTGCTTTGGGTTGTTTATGGTTGCTCAACATGCTGACGCTGACAGTTCATCCCCTACCTGATGGACGTACACAGGAAGGGGCAGTTCCCCCTGGAGGAATTTGTCCGCTACTACGATTTTCAAGATCACGAGAAGGCCATTGAAGATACCCATTCCGGGGAGGTCATTAAGGCTGTTCTCAGATGGAAATCATAGACTCAAGAAAAGTTAATAGAAACAACGGCCCTCCAAAGTTCATAACCCTAAGAACGGGGGAGGGGTACCGTCCGAGCTCGTCAATGGTATTAAGGTGTTGGGTTCCCGAACCGGGGTTACGATGTGAACTAACCAACCTTGCTCGACTCAGTGGCGAAACAGGAACCGCGCTTCAGTGTGAAGGGCAGAAACTAGTTTATGATATTAAGCTTCTATCATACGTTGAAGTACACATGACTTGTAATGTGCGGTAGAAACTACGGTACCTTGTACCTACCTCCCTACGATAATCCGACTAAAATAGGGTGGACTCTAGGAACTGGAATTAGAATATAGGTAAGTTAGTAAAATACAGAAACAGGCGAAAACGAAGAACTAAGGAGAAAACGTCAAGGTAGAAACCGAATGAATCTTCAAAACAAAGAACTTCTTTAGGCACTTGGATGCGTACCTATTTCTACTCATCAGGTGAGAGGTGCAGGGTTGAGGTGAGGCTAAATAGCATATGTAACGACCCTTTCGACCCCTCACTTTGAAGCAATGACATTTACTCCCCGGGGTAGTATCAGAGATAATTATTGGAAGGGTGAGCGCGGGGTGATCGTCCCGTTCGGGGCCACAGACCGGCAAGCCTTCAGTGGATGTGACGCCTGAGTTCCATGTGTAATAATTTTACATTTAAGCGACGGGGTATCGCCAGGATGAGTGATGTTCCCCCTCTGCTGTTGTATGATGTCTGGTCAGTGATACAGCTACCATGAAGATTCATGTCTTGGTTAAGCGCGCCTGTATCTTCACCTTGTCAGTGGTCCCCGGTATATTGGCGGACCAACCGGGTAGCCCTCTTGTTGATGACTTACTTGATCCATTAATACGGGACTCTGTCGGCACTGGACATGCCCCTGTATCTGCGAGAAGCCTCGCTAGGTCTCCAGAGATCAACCACAGCTGCCTCCCCAACCTAGAGGATTCTTTCCAGAGAATCTGGACATTGACTAGGTTCTTGTACCAGGCCACGGAACGTGGCTTTGACAACTACCCCGCCGCCGGCGACTGGAACGGCCGGCTCTCCCCTTACAAACGCACGCTCGAGATCGAGCTGCGTAATGAACGCGGTAACTTCACCACAGCCTGCGCCTTCGACGATCCCATCCTCGACAACGCGACCGACAAGTGGTGGCACTGCACCTTCCCCAGAATCCGACGCTCTCCCGCCCCTCCTCATCGAAACCTACGTCCAGCTCAACCGCACGACAGGCTACCTCGCGGTCAACCAAACCTGGTATTGCAACGACTCGAGCACCGATCCAGAACCTCGGTAACCCAACTCCCTTCTTTTCTTCTTCAATCACTAGCACAACACCAACTGATTCCCTATTTCTAAACCCAGCTACCGTGTGACCGCCAAAGGCAGCCTCCCAGACGGTCCGACCAGACGGCTGGTGTGTGGTAGCAGCACGGCGGTGGCACGGAACGTCATCTGTAACACGAACATTGCGCCGATATGGTGCGATGTGCTGTACGCGGCCGAGTGGTGCTCGCTGGACGGTGACCGTGAGGGGCGTGGGGCGCCGATAGAGTTTTGGGCGCTGGAGGTGGAAGTGGAGAACTTGGAGGAGGGATGAGAAGAAAGGGGAGTGGAATGGGGAGGGGGCGGGAGAGGTGGTTAGGGGTGTTGGGGCAGTTTGTTCATTTTGGTGTTTCTTTTGTTTATTTCTCCTAGCTAGGTAACTGTTCGTTGACGAGTTGGGTAAACTACGGCAGTAAAGCCAAGGGCAAAGGCAAAAGACACAACCACTCATCTCCCAAACCCCATTTTGACGCCTACAGTTGCGCGACGGGCGTCTTTAGTTGTTTGGCCGTACCGAGTCGGGCTCATCCGGGTATGGTACGCCTTCCACTCCAACCTCGCCCACCGTGATGCTCGACGACCCACTGCTCTGGTATCCCTCAGTGGCGAGGATCATGTAGTCGTGCGAACCCAGCTTCAGACCGCTCTTTGTCCAGGCGTCGAAGTGCTAAGTTCCAGCAACGTCAGCTACCTACGTTCTATCTCGCGGGCCTGTGTTTAGGCCTTGGAAACAAGGGTGTGGTCTGGGGGGTACAATGGAGACAGGTGCTGAAAGGGGCTAGAAAAAGTGAAAGCTGCTGCTCACAGTGCCCAGTGCTGATCTCGCCGCCGACACGTTTGCGCTGGCGGACAGACCAGAACTGCATAAATGTCGCCCTCCCCACAATCGAAGGCTGGTTGACGCGCTGGGTCTGGTAGATGTCGTAGGTGCCGCCGTCGCTCTGAATGGTGCCCCTTCGTTGGGCTCCGCTGCTGGGATTGTACGAGCCATAACTCTCGACGATGTAGTACTCGATCAGTGGATCCTTGGTCCAACCGTAGAGGGCAAGGTACGAGTTGACGTTCGCTGCGTTCCACGTGCCGTTGTAATGCACCGTCTTGGGTCCACCGGGGTTCCAGCCCTTGCCCCCAACCCAGTTGCCGACGTTGTTCCACTGGCTGTTGTAGCTCCCGTTGGCGAGGTTGTTGTAGGTGACGCTACCGCGACCGTCAGACCAGAAGGAGTAGAAGTAGCCGCTATGGAAGCCGTTGCCTTCGGGCGACCCTGCTGCTATTCCCTGGCTGCCTTGGCCCGCAGTGTTGATCCTGCTACCCAGGTTGAACGACTTTCCGAAGAGCTGTTCGTCCAGGGGCACGGCAGCCGCAAGGACCGCGCTGAGTACGAGGGACTTAAGCATGGTGATAGTGAATGTCTGCCTGAAAAATGGCTGTGGAAGTTAGACGTAACGGAAGTAGTGGGTTGCGGGAGCCGTTGCTCCTCTCTTATTATTTCCCCTTTTCCTGCTTGGTTTTATGGGCTTCATGAATGCCAATGATCCCTTCATCCGCGTGCGACCCACGATGTATGCTGTGAACTAGCGCTCCAGTGGCAGGTGCATTATCGAGTCACCTATAGCCTCCCAAGAAAGTAATTTCTATCCGCATCCAATCGTGGGACCTGATTCTTCCCTGGGCCATAATTTGCCATCCCGACTCCTAGAGTGATCATGTCGAGCGGTCAGAGCGCGCGGTCTCGGGAGTTGAACAATGGGCGACCTTCACTATTTTACCAGCGGCTAAAATGTCCGATTGGGCTGGCTTCAGTTACTATTCTCGGCCCAAAGGCCCAGATCATGGATGAGAAGCCTCCGGATAAAGTACCTACCTAGATGTAGCGTGGGAGTTGGAGAAGTCTGGGGAAAGCCGAAAAGTCGGGATTTGATGTTCAGTCGGCTGTTGTCCTCCCTTAACGCCTTGCCCTGTTTGGTGTAACTCTAGATCCTGTGACAGCTCGCCGAAGGCAAAAGTTATAACGCGTTGCGTGTACCGTAAAACGGCAGATGTAATCCAAGAGCAAGGGGCGGAGTGCCAATGTGCAATGGTTAGGTAAATACCTATGTTATGTAAAGTCAAGAGCAAAGCAGCTCACAGGTGAATCGGATCCATGATATGGGGGACCTAGGTCTTGGATATTTTGCGGGAGACAGAGAAGAGTAAAGTTTAACAATAGTGTTCTCTTCCAAGGGATAGATGATGAGGCCCACGTACAGGATCAAGTAGCGGATTAGGGGGTATCCATCTAGAAAATGTTTATTAGAAGGAAAAGACATCGGCTAGTGGCGTCTAGCCGACAAACAGTTTTTGATGGAATACTCTAGGTGGTAATATGGTCGTAGGTACCTTGTCCTGTAATAATTTGGACGCAAAACGCATGATTACCTACATGCCCAGGACGAAAAGAAGAGGAGAAAAGATGGTCAAGGGGGCGGCAAGAACAAGGGGCTCTTTTCAACTGGAACTATCTAAGCAACTGTCTAAGCTGACAAGAATGAGTGTAAAGGCTCCTGGAGAAAAGTCTTATTGCAGACATTAACCAACTTATCCAGAATCCTTTTGTTGTTGTGGCAGGGGTTTGCGCTGGAGGTTGGGGCTGCTGACGAATACAGCCGTCGGATTTCCGAATCCCGTCGCTGAACATCGTTCCGGAGTAATTCACAACAGGGCTGCGAAGTCATCGCGCCTAATCTCTCCACGTTGCTGTCGTTTGCCGGATTTCGATCCCTTTTCCGCTCAAGATCACTTCTTTCAAATCCCTTCCTTGGGGCCCGACCACACCAGGTTCTTAGCCACTATGGAGAAGCGGGTGGTGAGCCGCTCGGCTCCTTACGGGCACGCGTGTATGAGCTGCTTTAAAGGCAAGTGTCGATGTATCCCACGCCAAGAAGGGGATGGATGTGAGAGGTAGGCAAGCTCTACGAAGGCTACTTAGGCCACAACGTTCAGACTCTGGGACAATGAGCAGTGAATGGTTAAAAATCAAACGCGGCCTTTCTGTACAGATGCCACCGCCTCAAGAAACATTGCGCTCCTTCCAACCAAGTTCGCCGCCGCACGCTCCATCACGGCCCGGAATTAGACGGTCAAACTACGAGCCGAAGCAGCAGCAAGGGTAACACGACAACCAAACCACAGCTCCGGGTTCAGGTTTCTCTCGGTTTAGAAGACCCCGAAAGTTTCGAAAACGCGCTGCATCCTTTCTTTGCCGTGAGATGCCCGGGCACTTCTGACTCAACGACGCCGGAACCTTTGAGATCGTTATCAGAAACGTGCCTTGACACGTTTCGCTCGCAGATGCTTCCCCATTTCCCCTTCGTCCACCTTCCGGATTATATGACCACTCAGCAACTGCATCTGCGCCACCCGTTCCTATCCCAGGCCATTAGTTGCGTGGCATCACCTACAACCCGCGAGAAACATGGTCGTGCGGCTGAGTTGAAACAGGTTCTTTACGGTATGGCCTTTTATCCGCTGCACCGGGACGGCCTGGTATCGCGGTCTGTCGGGAGGACGTTGGACTTGGTGCTCGGTCTCTTAACCTATATTGCCTGGGGTTGGGACTATTCCCTCAACAGTCGTTTGGTTATGCTAGCTATGTCCCTCGTCGGTGAGATGGATCTGTATATGGCCCATTGTCCCTCGGACGCACACCTGCTTGGGTTACTGAGCTTTGATGTCAACTTGGCCAACGTCGGACACAGCCGCGGACACACGATGGAGGACCACGGCTTAGATTATCACCGTGCCCTCTTGGCTTGTTTTCTGCTCAGCGCCGCGGTCTCAGCTTATTCTGGCCAAATAGACCCGATGCGCTGGACACCGCCGCTGGAGAGCGCACTTGTCGCCATCAGTGATACCTATTCTCAGGGCGACCACGTTTTGGCTGTGCAGGTTCGCCTGCAGCTGCTCAAAGGTCGCGCCGTACAGATACGCGACCAGGGCCACAAACCAGACCATAACGTTGCGGAGGTACTCCTGGTGAAGCTAGAGGAGCTTCGCCCAGCAGTTGAGCAACACCAGGGTAGGTCCTAAATCTTCCAACACCTCCCGCGATACGCTTCGAGTCAACTAACAACCCACCCACCCAAAAAACAGGTTCCCCCCTCCCATCCCACTTCCACCACGCCAAACTCGCCATCCACGAAGCCCTCGACGCCACCGCTCCCCTCCCAGCAGCAATAACAGCTTGTCCTCCCCCAAGCGCCCACCCTACCACCACCACCACAGTCCCCCCACCAAACCTAACCCACCTCTGGAACGCCCTCCTCGCAATCCAATCCACCACCGCCGCCCTCCTCTCCCTCCCCACCACTCCCATCCCCACCACCTCCAGTCCCACCCCTTCTACCAAACCTCCCCCCCTTCCGCGGCATTGCCTTCCCCCAATGGGCGCAGCTAACCCGCTGCCTTGTCGCCGCTGCACCGCTTTCGAGGCGCCCGACGCGCGCTGGCCCGATGGCGCCGCAAGGGAGGTTTTGGATTTGGTGGTGTTGTTTGGACGAGGTTGTGGGGAGGTTGGAGGGGATGGCGAGGGAGGCGGGGGAGGTTGTTTCTGGTGGGGTGGGTGCATGTGGTGTTGCTGATGAGGAGATGTTTATGAAGTTGGTTTTGGGGCTGAGGGGGTTTAGGGAGAGGGTTGTGGGGGAGAGGGCGGGACGGGGTAGGGCTGGGGGTGCTGCGGCTGGGCGGGATGGTGGTGAGGGTGTTGCTGTTGGTGATGTGGAGGAGGAGAGGATGGTGTTGGCGCCGCAGAAGGGGTATTTTAGGAATCCGAGGTTTTGGCTGGATCAGATTTGGGGATCGGGGTTGACTCCTTGAGTGCCAGGGTTTGGTCTCCCTTTTTGGGAGGGAGGAAAACTGTAAGGTGGAACTTCGTTGGTCTCTTAAACTGTAGAATAAAGTTGAACCGAAAGCGGGCCAGAATACTTCCATTACCATATTGGAAGCGGGCAGCCTTTTCGGGATGAATCCAACTTCCACGCCCGGGCTCATTTGCCCTTGACTTCCGCCCTTTGGCACGGAAAGCGAGTCCAGGACGGCTCAAAATCTAACCGCCCTTGTGCCAGTGCTTCTCAACCCCCTGTCCCAAAGCACCCGGCTCCCGGTTCGATTCCGTTCTCGGAAACGGAATTCAGCGTCGGGGCTCCGAACGGTGTTAAACACGGCCGCCGGACACATATTTCTGCATGTCTGTAAGCATCGAGGACGCCAACAAAGGAGCATGTTATACATATTTGCGAAATTCCCGCTCTGTACCTCTCATCTTCCTCAGCCTACCTAAGGAACGTCCACTGAGCCAAAATGGTGCACATTTCCGCTCAGATCGAGATAAACCGGTCTCCAGAGGAGGTCCGGAAGGTGGTAAGTTTGTCTTGAACTCTGCAACCCTTTACTACTACTTTTGCCTCTAATGACGGATAGTTGCTGGACTTTGGCCACTGGCCGGAATGGCTCACCACCGGTCTCTCAATGACCGTCGTCTCTCCAAACCACAAGCTTGGGCCGGAGCTTCAACAGGGAGACAGACTGCGCAGTGACTTCAAAGGCACCGTAGTCAAACCCAAAGTCTTGGTATGCAAGCTTCATGTGCCTTGTGTCACCCCTTAGTTCCAAATACTAACCCATACCCAACAGGAAAACACTCCGACCAAGTTCGAGTGGCGCGGCAGATTCGGTATCATTCTTCTTGTTGGTCACCGCCGTTTCTTCTTGAAGAAGAGCGAGACAACACCCGGTGGCACGACTTTGATGCAAAACGAGGATATCAAGGGCCTGTTAGCATTCTTGTTTAAGAAGAACGAAGGCCATGGCAAGGATGCGAGGGAAGCCATGACCAAGTTCAATGAGCAGCTTAAGGCGAGGGTTGAGTCGTTGTAGTAATTTGTGGCCGTTGGTTTTGTAGAGTGCGGTCTGCTTGTGGTTGTGGTAATATCATTGAAGGTGCTATCAAATAATAATAGAACCCGAAATTGAAGATATGAACGGCGAACACTTTCGAGTTATGGTAAAACACAGGACTGTGAGTGTGCCCGCTACGACGCGCAACCAGCAATAACGGCATTGGTGCAAGTCCCTACAGAACAGCTTCAAGTTGGAAAGGGGGCAAACAACGGCTCTTACAGCTGTTCGGACGGTTTCTCAATTTGGCATGCAGGTACAGACTTGACTCCCTAGATAGGTACTCGGCCTCAACTCTGGCAGTGGTTGACCCGGCCCGGCGCCAGAGTGGGGCCGAGAGACGGAATTCAATTCCGTTCCCGGCATCGATTAGGCCGAATACAATTCCGCGCCGGGTTCCGGGGCAAATCCTGACGCTTGTCTGGAAGACGCAAATTATTGATCGGAGAGTATTGACAGAGAGGGAACGTATGTGAGTGTCAAGTTTGAAAATCAGAGGAGGTAATTTCAAGTAAATAGATCACGCCGGCCCCAATACCATCTTGCGTTGCCCTACTTCCTCCGGGACACTGATTCTGCCTCTGATTGTAGACGCTCAGAGTGCTGCTAGACATACAACCAAGGCTCCAACATTGAGTCACTCAGCTCAACGCCATGGCTGTGGCATCTACTGACCGACACCCCGACATGCCGCAGAGCTCAGAGGCTTCCGACGGGTCTCTCGGACTCACCAAGGACACGGAGAAAAGCGAGCCAGATTCAACAACAGAAAGCTCTCGTGAATATCCCACAGGCATCACGCGGGCCTTGATTATTGGACCCGTCACCTTGACCTACTTCCTTTTCTTTCTGGATCTAGCCGTTCTGTCCACCGCCACCCCGGCCATCACCTCCGAGTTCAACTCTTTGGTCGATGTCGGGTGGTAAGTCATAATCCTTGAACGCTCTCGCACTCACGGTTTGCTGATTTTTGCCCCTTCCTTTCTTCAGGTACGGTGGTGCCTACCAGCTTGGTAGCTCAGCTTTTCAACCCCTGACGGGCAAGATCTTCCGCTACTTTTCCATCAAAGTCTGTCACGCACACCCCTCACCGAACAAGATACACAGACCCTAACACAACCACCAAACCACAGTGGTCGTTCCTAGCATTCTTTTTCGTCTTCGAAGTGGGGTCCCTCTTGTGCGGCGCCGCCCAAAACTCACCAATGTTTATCATCGGCAGGGTCATTGCCGGTGTGGGATCATCGGGCATATCGAACGGCGCTCTTACCATCATCTCGGCTGTCCTGCCACCGCGGGAGCAAGCCAGATTTCTGGGCGTCAACATGGGCCTTGGACAGCTAGGCCTGGCGCTGGGCCCGATTATCGGTGGTTTGTTTACTGAGTATGTCTCTTGGCGTTGGTGTAAGTGGTAGTCCTTGCGGCTATTAATTCGGTTGCTGGGCTGACAAGTTGCTCCTCAGGTTTTTACATTAACCTCCCCGTCGGCGGCGTTGTTGCCGTCCTGCTCCTCCTTTTCCGTATTCCCGAACACGAAGCCAAACCGCCCGCTCGGGAAGTGCTCGGTACCGCTATCAAGTCGCTCGATCTCCCGGGCTTCATGCTCATCAGCCCTTCTGCCGTGATGTTTTTGCTCGGCTTGCAGTACGGCGGCAACCAGTTTTCGTGGAACAGCTCTGTGGTTATTGGTCTTTTGGTCGGTGCCGCAGCCATGTTTGTGTTGTTCCTTTTCTGGGAGCGCCGCCAGGGGGACGACGCCATGGTACCGTTTGCCATGATGACCCATCGCATCATTTGGTCCGCGGCGGGGAACATGTTCTTTCTTATGGCCAGCATCCTTGTCGCCGATTTCTACCTCGCAATTTACTTCCAGGCTGTGCACGACGACTCACCCTTGATGAGCGGCGTCCACATGCTTCCCACCACGTTGGGAATTGTCTTGTTCACGATGATATCGGGCACGATGAGTAGGTTCCCTGGGCCCATCCTCTACGGTTGTTACCCACTAACCTGTGCGTCATTACACAGTCGAAATGTTGGGTTATTACCTTCCCTGGGTGGTCAGCGGTGGCGCATTATCGGCCATCGGTTACGGACTGCTATCTCTCCTAAGCCCTACCACTACAGTCGCAAACTGGATCGGATACCAAGTCCTGTACGGAGTTGGTGGAGGCTGTATGGCCGCAGGAGTAAGCGCCCCCTTTGCACAACCAGAATCACCCGTCTCAGCACCTCACCCACCGATCATACTAACAACCACCCTCAACCCGCCAGGCCTACATCGCGATTCAAAACCTCGTCCCCACCCCCCAAATCCCCACCGCCATGTCCATCATCATCTTCAGCCAAAACATGGGCGGCGCCGTCTCGCTCGTCGCCGCCAACGCCATCTTCAGCAACACCCTACGGTCGCAGCTCCAGGAACGGCTCCCGGTGACCGGCATCGCTCCTGACATGATCATCAACTCGGGCGTGCGCTCCGTGCGTGCGCTCGTCCCGCGCGGCGCGCCGCTGGCTGCCGTGCTGCAGGCCTACAGCAACAGCGCCGATACGGTCATGTACCTTGGCGTTGCGGTGAGCGTGGCGGCATTTGCGTTTGCGTGGGGCTTGGGCTGGAAGGATATTCGTGTGGTTAGGAAGCTGAATGCTATCAAGGCTGACTCTTGAGGGCTAGGGGGATGCGAAGGTAAGGTAATTAGACTCAACCCTTTGTTAAATAGAGGTGGCGCGGGTGGATGATTCGTTTTTTTGAATCGCTAGTTATTTCTTCGATGGGTTAATGCCGGTTTCTTGGTCTTGCGGCTGGTAGTATTTGGTCGCTCTGATACCATCCCACGTCATCCAAATCCTGGGAGGCGTTGTTCTGGCACAGACATACTGCTAGGGTGGTAGGGGTCAGGGATCAAAGATTGTATTCTATTCATTTCTGTTCTTTCTTGCTTCACTATCTTTGCATTAGAACGGATGTATTTGCGTTAACTTATGCCCAATTGCTCCGTAATAGACAAGTTGGCATGGTACTCCAATACACAGCGAAGACGTACATGCATACATGACCACCTCAATCACCCGTATTTCGGCACGGTTCCCGACACGCCGTTGCTGACGGTCGGAATGAAGTACCACCCGTCTGACCGCCAGTGGAGACAACCCCGAAAACCAGGCAATAGGAGATGAGAGACAGATGTTGAGGGCGATTCCATGTTCTTGGCCCCCACGATGTCACTGTCAGACTGTCGATCACGGCAGGGACGCTGCGTAGCAGGGGTCATGTTCTCCTGAGACGCCCTATCGCAGGTGCTGTGCCGCTCACATGCATGTGCTGGACAGCGTAGCCTTGCCATTAAGCGCGCTGCTCGCGACTGGGGTTAGAGTCGGCCCCTTAAATGTTTGTTGGATGTCGCATTCGGGTTTCTTCTTGACGCATTTTCCGACCATTTATTTACCTATGCTTTCCTTAGGTGCTTGGGTATACCGTCAAAAGAGTTGAGCGGTCCAGCCCGGTAACCAGCAATGGATCGCCGTCAACACGGCTTGGAAGCCTACGGGACGGATCCCGAGACAAATCGATTCTCGGGCATCGAAGTCGTCAACAATACTCCCGAAAAGTACTACGTCAGCCCGGAGTACGATCAGAAGTTTCCAGCCAGCGAGAGACCGCCAGGTGCACCTAAAAACAGAATATGCGGTCTCTCAAGGCCCATCTTCTTCTTAACCATTGCGTTATCGGCCCTCGCCATCCTCGTGGTCGGGCTAGGCGCGGGGCTGGGCGTAGCATTAAGCAGGGTGCAGGCCAGCCCGAACAACATGAATACTGCTGATGGTAAGCTTCGACGAAGTCGAAAGTACCTAACGAGCAACATGCCTTTAACGCCAATACTAACCTCCCAATTACCAGGGAGTACCAACGGCGCAAGCCAAGACCCCCTAACTTTGTCATCTGCAGTGCGCACATTGCCGGCATCATCAACCTCAGCCCCAGCCTCCACATCAACACCATCATCAACCGACACTGCCACCACCACCTCCAGCTCCACATCCTCCTCCCGCCCCAAACCATCCAACATCTGCCCCAGCGCCGACAACAGCGTCGTCAAGGGCACGGTGGGCGACGTACGGTACCGCGTGGCGTGCGACTCGGACTTCAGCGGGAGCGGCAAGGAGACGCTGGCCTCCTTCTTCGCGGCGACGTGGGACGACTGCCTGAGGCTCTGCAACACCATGAACTACTTCCAGGAGCGCACCGATGTCGGCTGCACCTGGAACGTGGCCGGCACGGGCCAGCAGACGCCCGGGACCTGCTGGTGCCTCGGCGGCGCCGACAAGGAGCTGGTGCCGAACGTGGGGAACGTGGCTGCCGTGCCCATGTGAGCTTTGAGGGCTTCTTCTTCTTCCTATGATTATTATTATTCTTTCACTTGTTTCAGCCAGGTTATAGATAATGAATTGTCGGGTGGCAGCGATGCTTTGGGATGCGGTGTTAGCGGCTGGTGTCAACACTGATCCGGCGGTCGATATGGAAATTGAAACTTGTGTTTTCGGGGGGAGCATGGGACGACAAACGAGTTTCAGGGTCCAAAACGACCACCTTTTTCTTTTTAAGGGGGGTCTATAATAGGGAAACCAGGTATGCCTTAAAATAACCCTATTGTCGAGGAGGGGAATTCATGGCATGTGGTTGGACGACCTACAGGCTAGTTGCGGGCGAGATTCTATCCTTCGTGGTTGATCTCCCTGTATATCCAAGGCCGTATGTATAATCATGGAACTTAAACTGTACGTACCCAACGGGGGAGCCGGCTCAACTGCTCACCTACTCTCATAATGGAGTGGCTCCAGCGCAATATACCCCCCATGCTGCCGGCCATCATACACACCATTATTCCCCGCCCCCACATCCACATCCTCCATCGCATACCCCTTCGTCTCCGACGCAACATCCGAAACCGTCGTCGCCCCGCCTGGCGTCGTCAACCTATCCTCCTCCCCCATCCCCCCTCCCACCCCAGCCGGCCCAACCCCAACCCCCGCGCCATCACCCGTCCCATCCCCATCCCCATCCGCAAACTTGACCGTCTTCCCCCCACTCACCAGACTCCACTCCTTCGGCGACATCTTGAAATCGCTCTCGCCCGGGTACAGCACGATGGTGAAGATGCGGCCCGCCGACAGCTGCTGCAGCCGCATGCGCACTTTGTTCAGGCTGGCCCACCCGGCCGCCCACACCGCCAGCGCGCCGGCCGTGAGGAGGGCCAGGACCGCGAGCAGCGCGAAGCCCGGGATGCCGTATGCGAAGTGGTACTTGACGCGGTGGACGGCTGGGTGGATGTGGATTATTGGGGCGGGTGCGGGGAGGGGGTTGGTGTCGTCGCGTTTGGCGGGGTTTGTGGTGGGGTTGGTGGTGGTGGTGGTGGTGACGCCCTTGGTGCCGACGACGGCGGAGGCGGCCAGGTCGGTCCACAGGAGGTTGATCATGCGGCTGGTGCCGTCGGGCGTGGCGGTGAGCGTCTGCCAGCGTGTGAAGACGGCCATGTCGGCGCGGCCGACCAGATCGAAGGGCCAGTCGGAGCCGCTGATGCCAGAGGAGGGTGAGCCCGAGTAGATGGTGTTAGCAGCGCGGAAGGGGAAGTCGGCGGCGGGCAGGTTGTCGTACCCAATGCCGTTGTCGACGGCCGAGAAGGTCGGCGTGGTGAGGCTGGCGCCGCCGCTGCCGAGGCCGACGAGGTAGAGGGAGGGTTGTTTGACCGTGGAGATATTGGGGAAGTTGGCGGCTGGGTAGGCGGGGGATATGAGCCCCCAGAGGGGCTGGATGTCGCGGAGCTTGTAGCCGCTGTCTTCGACTGCCCAGAGGGGGTATGCGTCCGGGGAGGGGTATGTCTTGGCTGTGATGTTGGTCACGCGGAAAGAGGTCAGGCCCCGGACGCTTTCAGCGGACTGGCGTACTGGGTTGGTAACGGGGTCGGTGGAGAAGGATACTGTTTTGATGGTTGCGCGGATGGAGGTTGCGCACGAGTACAGCGGCGTGGTCCACTTGCTACCGCGCTCGAAGATGCCTTGCGGGCCGTTGTCTACCCGCCTGGGAGGGCCAGTGACAAGCCCGCAGGCGACAAAGATGTTGGTGACGTTGGCGATGTCCCCTTCACCGGCGTTGGCACAGATGATAGCTGGGGGACGGGGATTGTTAACGATCTTGAACTGGAAGCAATACAGTGACCGGGGAGGGACAAGAGAGACGTACGTATCGCCCCAAACCAGGATGTGCCCTTGGTAACATTGAACGGATTCGGATACTTCATGTTACCACCCGTGCTCGTGCCAAAAAGATAATCACCGTAGGCATTGGAGAATGTGGCCGCCCTGTAATTAGAGGGGCCATTGACCCACAGGGGAAAGGACTTCCCTATGGTCGAATTCAGGTACTGGAATGACTTGACGCCGATGCTGGAGTTCCCGGCGTTTGTGACGTTGAGATATAACATGGTATAAAAGTTGTTGACTATGGCTGCGAGGTGTGCTCTGTTCCAGAGGTCCGGATTCGCCTGCGGATTCCCATCGTAGTACGGATACGTGCGATTGAGATCCTCGCGGGTGAGGTTGGCGAACCCGCCGCGATCGGTCAGGCGGTAGTCAATGGGCCCGTTAGAACCAAAAGAAAAATTGCCCTTAGATTCAGTGTAGTCGAATGTCAGGTTGGTGTCAACGCAAGCGGTGACGGGCTCGATAAACAGGATATCTTCTTGCCAAGTGACATTGCGGTCTGCAGGCTGAGGGACCGTGTGGTTTCGGAAGCCCACACCGCCGGTCTGGGTGTCGACGATGAGGCCCTCGACCAGTTTGACCGAGTCCTCTAGAGCCACGCTATCGACTTGGCGAAACATGTTGACGGCAAACGGAGATCCGCGATTCACAATCTTAGCATCCTCCCCATCCCTCATGGTTAGCTGTCGCCACTCGATATCGAAGAAATTGGACACGGTGGTGCCGATGCCGTGCGTGCCGCTGGAATAAAGTTCGCGAAGTATGGGCGGGATATCCATGCTAAGATCATCAGGATAATCCCAGGATATCGTGCTGTCACCCATGCTGAAGATGAGAGTGCCGTTTGTGAATGGGCATGGCGCAGGATTCAAGCGGAAGGAGCATTGTCGGGAAAAGTTATAACCACTCCGAGGGCTCGTACCGTAGAAATAAGCACTGCTATCGCGGATATACGAGAAGGTGCCGACTTCTTGTTCGCCCACTTCAAGCACGTCGTAAAGACCGATCGGCGTCAACACGCTCGAGATGGCGATCAAGACCGTTGTGAGCGGGATGGCGAGGGACGCGAGGAAGATGGGCGTCCGAACGGCATGGGGCCGCACAGAGTCGGACCGTAGAAGCATCGTCCAATGCGACGACTGAAGGATCTTTGCTGCCACCGTCCTAAGGCCCGCCGGTTAGGGGTTGGGCACGGCGAGAACGAGCGAGGTGGCTTTCCAAGTATCACTTACCATGTTGCCGCGGTTTCCTCATCGCGGAGCACTCCAGCAAGTAAAAAGGAGATGGCGGTGGGAAGCCAGAGTTGTGCTTTGTGATTCAAGTCAGCATGGTATTAATGACAAGCTGGAGATCGATCCGCGGTCTATGATATCAGACGCGACCCGGATTCGTCGAACTAAGGCTTACTTATAAAAATAGCCAGGGCGATTAAGCCGGCCGCATACCCGACTGAGTAGTCCGACATTGTAATTTTGTGCTAACCAACCCGCTGCAGTTCAACACGCCACAAGATCAGGGGAAGAGGTGTGCTTATCCATCGACTCTCGAGAAGCGCGCGAAGCTCAAAAGAGGGAAAGACGGAGGGCAGGGGGCCGAGGGGGTTGAGGAGAATCCGAGAGTTGAGCGCGTGGGAGGGATTTAAACTTCACTTGACAGTGAGGCTCCTGACTCCCGGGTCAGACCGCGACACGAGACATCTCTGGGACCCTGTCGGACCGAAGCAAGCCACTGAAGAAAGCCACCGAACCCCCTCGCCCAATGAGCCGGGAACGACGAAAAGACGCCAAGAACAAGCTGAGCCCTCTTTCCCATGTCGATCCAGGCGGTCATCTCGATCCTATTTGGTGATTTGTTGGTGCAACCACACAACCCCATGTCGGCAGGGATGGCTCCCAGAAAACCGCGCAACTGTTCCCAAGTGGCTTGCAGCCCGAGCCTTTCCTGTTATGCACAAGCTTGGCCCGCAACATGGTTTGGCATGTCTTAAGGCTGTGACTCTGCATCCACCCCTGGACCACCCACCCACCTTGCGAAAGTGGTTCCAACCACCAACTCGGTGAGAATGGCGCTTCGCTTTGCCTCGATCATACTCATCTTGGGCCTGTTTGCGCCCTTTATTGCCGGCCAGACAGCGACTGCTGGAAACACCGCTTCGATTACCAGTCCCTCTGCCCCTGACCGCAGCGCCGAAGGAGTTCAAGTCTGTTTTGGCCGAGGCGGCATTTGTGATACCAAACTCGGCCTCATTGATCAATGCCAAAACGAGCAGGAAGCGCATGGGCTTAACGGATACTGGGAATGCGTTTGCACGTCGGGCTATGCTGCCGTCCAGGAGGCGTAAGTGCACGTGTCCAACCCACATCATGATCCTTCTGTTCAAAGGCCAACTCTAAACCGCTGGCGACGGTCTAGGTGCGATGACTGCCAGATGTTCTACGGCGTCATCACGACCAGATTCACCAACTACACGGTGACGTGCTCAAGTAAGAGCTATACCCTCGCGCCCATCCCCAGCAGCGTGCTTGCCCAACAGTCGTCCCACAATGCCACGCGCGGGACTGGAGCACCGACGAGCCAGCAGCCAACGTACGTGGTGACGATCAACGCAATGCCGACCGAACCGCTGCCAACCGTCGCCACTACCTTTGCTCTCCCGCTGGCAACCGGGACTGCATCGCGTTCGTTAGGACACTCACCACTTCTGGCGGTGTTGCCAGCCTTGGGAATATCACTGGGGCTCTGGTAATGATAGAACGCAAAGGGAAGGAAAAGATTGCGCCTAGCACGGCGAGAGCATGAAGAATCATGGTTGAGGGGGAGGAGGCGACTTGTTAGGGTTGATGTAGAAACTATCAAGGCCCTGATATACACTGATCAGGGCAGATTAGACCATCAGATTTTAATGAAATGGGATGACGGGTGAAACAAACGTCACCAAGGGAAAATGTAAATTCAGATGCTTTTTTGGGCACTGTTCCTTGGGATGTAAATGATGGCTAACATTAACTCGGAAAACTCGTCCAATTGCATTTGAAACCCTCCTTTTTAATGATCTGCCCGCTTAGGGGCTGGTCCGAGGAGAAAATGGTGTGAAAATGGGAGTTCAATTTGCCCCTGAAAGCCCAGACTCCAGTTGTTAATAACATAACTAACTTAGGCAATTGATAGGGGTGCAGTATCACTTTTTGATGGGGGTGCAGTATCACTTTTTTTTGGGGCCGGGGTTAGGGTTATGTATGGGGGGCCAGAAATCCAAAGAAATCCAACTTTGGCAAGATTCTGAACGGACAAGACAGCCACCCAGAGCCAGCCAGAACAGCCAAACAGCGATTTCCACCACAACCACCACAATCGCCAGAACAGCCAAGACAGCCGTGTCGCACCAGAACAAGCGATCAAGTCGGATCAATTGAGTCACCGCGCGCCCCTGCGCGCCGCCGCCCCCCTGCGAACGGTGTGTTCCAGCGCCCTCATCTGCAGCCCCCCCCCACTAATTCAGGGCACAGAATCCTTGAGCCATGGCGCTGCAAGGCCCGTCGCAGCCACGGCCGCCCACCTCCAAGCCGCCGAAGACGACGATTTCGCAGGGTTCTCTGACGACGAGAGGGTTCCCCACCATGAAGAGGATCATCACAACGAGCCGCGCGCGCCCGGCGCCCCCAGCCAACTTGGCAGCGATTCGCAGGACCCCGAGGATTCCGCCGATGACACCCTCGGCATGGACCCCATCCCCGAGGCCAGATATCTCCGCTTTGGTCCGACAGATACCATCCAAGAGCTAAAGACCGAATTCAACGAGTGGGCCAGAACACACGGGTTCGCTGTGATCCGCGCCAACGGCCGCAACAAGCAGGATGGTGTATATACTCGCTACGACCTGCGGTGCGATCGCTACGGCTTGCCGCGACCGTCAAGATCAACCGGCCTCCGCCAGACAGCGACCCGCAAGTGTGGCTGTCAGTTCAGGGCCACAGCTGCCAATTCGGAAGAGGGTTGGATCCTCCATCGCCATTCAGACGAAGCCTCACGGGGTCACAACCACGGCCAATCCATCCACGCCTCTGCTCACCCCCAGCACCGCAGAGTATCCGACGAGGTCCGCAAGACTATCACCGACCTGTCCAAGCACAACGCAATTCGGCCGAGGGAGATACGAGCTGTCGTCAACGACCAAAACCCTACGTCTCTTTTGACCAGGAGAGACGTCTACAACGTGAGGGCTTACGGCCGAAGAGAGGAGCTTGACGGCTATTCCCCAGCTGGGGCTCTCATTGCCACCTTTGATGCCATGAAAAGCCAGTACGATCTCGACTATCGCGTCAAATGGGAGGATGATGAGCAGACACGCTTCCTTGGTCTGGTGTTTGGCTTTGCCGGCAGTATCAAGATGCAAGACTATTTTCCAGACCTGGGGTTTATCGACATGACGTACAACACCAACGTTCAAGGGCTTCCACTCTACCACTTTGCCTGTATTACAGCAACTGGCCAAGCAGTCAACACCATCTTTGGCGTAATTGACAACGAGAAGAAGGACTCCTTTGTCTTCCTTCTCCAGGCAACGAAGGAGCTCCTCGCAGCAGCAGACCCCCCCATCCGCCAACCACTGGTTATTCTAACCGACCACTGCAAGGAGATGAAAGCGGCACTCGACGAAGTCTTCCCCGACGTCCAACAGCAGATCTGCGTGTTCCACATCCTCAAGAACGTACGCCTCAACGCCGCCAAGAAGTTCAAGAGGCCCAACGACTCCGACGACTCCGACGACGAGGAGTACGACAACGAGGTCCTCACCGTTGCAGAGAGAGCCGCCCTCGCAAGCCGCCTCGAGCAAGACAGTACTGGTATATCCGCTCCGCCGCCCAAGAAGATATCCCACGATGCCCAGGGGGTCCACGATATGTTCCAGTTAATGGTGTACGCTGTGGACGAGCCGTCTTTCTTCGGCGCCTAGGAGGCGTTGAAGACTGAGTTCAAGGACCAACCGGCCATCTGTCGCTATCTCAACAAACAGTGGTTTCCGCTCCGTGAGCAGTGGGCCCACTGTTACACCAAGAAGTATCGCAACTTTGGCTACAAAGCTACATCGCCAGTCGAGTCCACGAATCTCACGACCAAAAGCTATCTCCTCAACAGCCGGTCAGACCTCTTCCGGCTCGTCAAGACTCTCCACGAGATGCACATGAACCAGCGAAAAGAGTTCTTCGAAGTCACCAGTTATCAGAACACCAAGACGAAGCTCCAGTATCTCAGCCGGACTTGGCTCGGCCCCCTGACAACTGCAATCTCATACAAAGGCTTAGACCTTATCAACAGCGAATACAAGCACGCGTTGGCGGCGTTGCCGGCAGAAGATGGCCATCGCTCGACGAAGGAGATTACGGCCCTACCCCCCTGCGACGACGACTTTTGCACGGTTGGCTTGCAGTTTGGTATCCCCTGCCGTCACAAGATCTACCAATTGTTGGTACGAAACAGGACAAGAGAAGAGGGGCGGAAAGAGACCCTTCACGTTCGTGACGTCCATCCTCACTGGCATCTTACGCTTCCTCTCCACGTTGGAGATGCCTACCTTCGAATCAAGGACCCCAAGATGGCCATCCCCAAGGGCAGGCCAAAGAACCATCCAGCACCGCCGCTAACAAGAGGTCTTGCTATTCCACCTGCGGCAGAGACCCCACGGCGCCGTTCAACGCCGAAGACCCCCTCGCAGCCGCCCCGGCAAAGGCGAACAAAGCCAGGGCCACCCCAAGGTTCGGCGCCGAGAATGAGCGATGGTATCCGCCGGCGCCTCTCGCAGTGGGAGCTGGAAGGTGATGAGGCAGATGAGGCTCCACGAGAGAGGACTCGACTGGTGATAGCTTCACGGCCAAGAGCGGGTCGACTACTCAGCTCCAACGGCCTTCGGTGGTCTCAAGAGCTACTGGGTCGCTCGCCAGCCGCCGCCGCCCCCCCCGAGCCACGAGATGATACCCCACGAGAGGAGGCCGCCCCGCGAGATGATGCCCCACGAGAGGAGGCCGCCGTCGAAGCGCCTGCGCCGGCTCCGAAGAGACGAGGCAGACCCCCAAAGATCAAGGAGACCGCTGCCGTCGAGGCGCCGGCGCAGCCGAGGAAGCGGGGCCGACCCCCGAAGAACAAGGAGACTGCCGCGCCGGAGCCGAAGCGCCAGCGCGCAACACCAAGCAGGGGCCCTCCTGCCGGCACTATTGGAGTAGGAATAGCCTCACAGGGAGGAGTTAGAACACAGGTGGTAGTTGGCGCAACTGGCAAGACAACGAGGTCTGGCAGGCAGGTCCAGTTGACCAAGAAGGCGGCTGAGGCGGGGAGCGCGTGAGTCTGGGCCAGTCAGCAAGAGGAGGCGTTGAGTCCTTGAGATTGCGCGTGTGCATCCAGTTTTGATGTGTTTTGTTAGATATATAGATGTCTCAATCTTGCCTGTAGGACTGCGCCTGGATTGATTGTCTGTTTTGCTGTGTGGTGTGGCAATCGCTGTTCTGGCTGGCTTGGGGTGGCTGTCTTGTCTGTTCAGAATTTTGGATTTTTTGGATTTCTGGTTCCCCCATACATAACCCTAACCCTATGGCCAAAAAAAAAGTGATACTGCACCCCCATCAAAAAGTGATACTGCACCCCTATCAATTGCCCTAACTTAACTACATGAATTGAATGATGATGTAAATCAGTGAGACGAACGATGCACGACCAGCGGTTTGGGATATCGTTGTTTAACTGAAAAGAATCACAGCATAATTCATAATGCCGGAGTATAACGCTTGAAGGAGTAACTAGTGATTCACTGTTATTAGAATAATTCTTAACCTAGTTACCTATGCCTCTGGGTAATAATGGCAGCAGACCATGGATGTGGGCCGTTCAGGTTCCTCTTATTAACTTATGTTTTTATAGACATGGAATCACTTCACCACCTAGTTAGTAAATCTTGGAATTAATCATCACAGACGAATGAAGATAAGGGCTTTTTGACGTTTAACAAACCTTTCCGAAAAAAGAGAAAAAAGGGCAAAAAGGGCAAAAATGCCAAAACATATGCCCACAACCAGAATCGAACTAGTGACCTTGTCATTACGAGTGACACGCTCTACCCCTGAGCCATGCGGGCCTAAGCTTGCTTGCTTGTTTGCTGAACTCAAGTTCCAAGTGTGCAAATCATATCCCCTGCTTGTCCCGTTTGTGAGGACAGGAGTGACCGTGCCCGCTGCGCGCGGGCACGCCAAAGGAAGCCTGGAGGAACTTGCCGGCTGCAGGTAGGCCCCATAGCGGAGTCAACGATGTAATTGTTAAAGGTGGAAGAAGAAGCCATCTTGACTGCAATGGAATTATAAACAGTATCAGGAGATGATTGTAGTTTAGGTCAGAAAATCGGGATGGAAAGAACGTATCGAGTTCCTTGGATTGGGAAAATGGAGCACCGCGGTGTAAAAAAGGTGGCCTCTATCACCGGTTTGACCTCATCGCCGATGTATGACGGCGCATTCTTGAGTCTCCAGTAAGCTATATCGTCATCTAGGGGCTTCAGTAATCAGATCCCGTAAAGATTAACCTCTGTGGCGTAATCTCACAGAGCTGATAGGTTCCGTGTATTTTGTGCGTCAAAGAAGCAATTTGCTTCGCTACCCTTCGTCACGTAGACGACCATCGAGCCGTAGGCCTTGCTTGTATCCTTCCTGCTGAGCCAGGCAATCTTGGCAATGTTGACGTTGTTCTCCGTAGTCGTGGTTCCAGGAATGGGACGTCATGGCCGAATCAGCGCAGACTGAAGCTGCTGACGAAGAAGCGGGTGCGTCGCTCTAGTAGTATAGTCAACCCATAACAGATGTTGACCCTGCAAACCTCATCTTTCGCCACTTTTTGACAGAAACCCGATTTTTTTGTTCGTGTTCGTGATTGTCAAGGAATGTGCGACGGAGGCATGCAAAAGCAGGAGCGAAGCAGCGAGTCACAGGGGCCCTGATGCCAAGTGCGGGTTAGCGGCTTTTCTCCGGCGATCCGATTGGCCAGGTGTCAAAGCATCAAATGGTTTGTGCACCACCACCGCCAAGACCAACTGCGAGATGCTGATTCAAGGAAGCAGAATGCAGATGACGCCAGACATCGAGATGCCATCGAGAGAAATCGAAAGGAGAAAAAGCCAAAACTCTACAGTGAGAAGTCGACAGTACAGGTTATATAGAAATGACACCGTTTTTTTGAGTTTTTTATGGAGTAAAAACTGGTCCATGCTTAGAGCAGGCCATGGCATTTTGACCTAAGGAACCTGGAGTTCCTCCAGGCACAACCCGCCGTCCATCCTCTGAATGCCCACCAAACTGCTTGGGGTCATAACAACTTTGAAAGAACGACATGATTGATATTTTCAGGCAATGTGATCACCCGGACAAAAGGATGAATTCTAATCCCACGAAGGAAAAAAAAAAAAAAGCCGACCTTGCCGAAACGCCCGTCGTCAAAACCAAACTTTTCCCTCCAACCCACCCGTAACCCAAAAACAGTCCTCCCCTTCACAACCACACACCCACACATCCCATCGCACAGCACCCATCCCCTCAACGCACCCTCTTCTTCTCCCCCGCCCATAACGGCTCCGCATCCGCATCTGCCGCCCCCCGATCGGCCACCACATCCGCCTCGCTCTCCGTCGGCAGCGGCGCCGCGTCCCCCGCCCCCAACCGGATCGTATGGTGCAGGCCCGGCGGCAGGGGGTCCAAGTCCGACCGATCGGCTGCCACGTCCGCCTCGCTCTCGGTTGGGTTGCCCTTGACCTCGGTGCCGAACATCTGCGCCGACACGAACACGCCCGTGCCGGCGCCCGTGGCGGGACCAGAATTGGGGTAGGGGCTGGGGTTGGGAGCGATGTGGCCTGGGGGAGTCGGGGTGGTGGTGACGCGGTCCTGGCCCACGGAGTGGATGCCGCGGCGGTGGGAGGGGCGGGCCTGGCCGTGGTAGATCTGCGTGCTGTTGGAGGAGGCGCGCGTGTGGTGGTCGCGGTGCTGCGGGTCGTCGGGGCGGGTGAAGTGCGAGGACCAGTCGGTGCCGAAGAGGCCTGGGTTGGAGGGCTGGTTGATGGGGGTTGGTGGCGGGGCCGGTGCGGGGTGGGGGTTTGGGGATGGCCGTGGAGGGCGTCGGCGGTGGTTGCGCGGGTGGCCATGCTCCGCACGGCGGTTGCCCGGGGGAGTGCGTAAGTGATCTTTTGTAGCGTGCGCATGATGATTTTGGGTGGTGTATAGAGGTTAGATAGAATCTAATGGAGGCCGTCAAATGAGGGGGTAAATAGTGGCGGCGTTGTTATAGGATCTCGATGCATTGAAGTTATGTGACGTCACAGAACAGAGTCTCCGGCATGGGTTGCTCTGTTTGGTAGATCGATCAAAGGGGCGTGACTTAACGGTCCTCACTCGCCCCGCCGTGGCAATGTGGTTGTTCTCAGGGTTTGACAACGGTAGATTGTGTCTCCTTTGCTTCTAGTACCTATATCGCCGCTTAATTAATGCTGTAAGCGCCGCGGACGTGGCCGGACGCGATCAATACCTAGGTAAGTAAGGTAACCTGGGTATGACTGGCTGTGAGACTCGGCATCATTAGGCATTGTCAGGTTAGGGAGGAAGGGACCAAAATAGATCTCGCTGTCCTCGGTGCCCAAACATCCCCCCTCATTGTGTCGTCTGAGCAATTCCACCCCGTTAACCTGGGAAGTCTTGAGAGATCGACCCGATGGTAATTAGATGGCAAACGCGGCACACGTCTTGCATCCAAAGGTCTCACTCACAACCTCATGCTCGTGAACGTTTCACGTTGTTGCCTTCGCACCCTTCCCCATGAGTTGGGCTGACGTACTCGGATGGGTTACCGGTTGGGTTCCAACATCATTGCCGCCAGTACAGTAAGGGGCCAGATGATGAGGGCCGCTCCATGATCCGTGAGCAGCCACCAAATCCAGTTTTCGGCGTGAACAAGGCCTGGCGTGACACTAGCTGAGTATCAGCAGTCGTCAGCCGACCCCCAAAGCGCGAGTCCGAAACTCCCACGCGCCGGCATGTGCGAATGCGCCGTTGATGAATGCTGGCGGCTGCCGTTTTTCCCGAGGGAGATCTTCAGGGGCTGCAATGTGCGGGGGCTAAATCCGGGCTGGGAGAAGATCGACACCACGTCCCTGGGAATAAGTTGGCGATCTTCGCTCCGATGGCACACAAGACGCCTCTCGGCACCAAACTTCACCCACGATGTTGCGGTTTGTCGGGGGATGAAACGAGGCAGATTCCGGCTGCCCAATGGAGCGGTACCTCGTCGACGGTATCCAAGAAAAGCAGAAGCCTCGCGTGGGAATGGAGTCGGCAAGGGAGATCGCAGCCCGTTTGGGGGCATTCCTGGCGGGTCGCACAAGCGACACATTTCCCATCTAAAATCTTCGCATCCACCACGGACCCGAGGGGCTGGACAACGCCTCCTGATTGCGACAGATTCAGTCACGGTTCAGGGATCACGCACCAAACGAGCCATCAACCACCATGGCGACAGTCCTCATCGGGCAAGCGCCCACCAACCTCGGTCCGTTGACGACGACCTTCACGCCGCCGCCGGAATGTACCGCCGCGGTGGGCGCAGCAAGCAACGGGCTAGCGGACTTTTTTGGAGTTGGAGATGCCAAGGACGTGGCATACCTCGGGCAGGGCTGCTCTCGAGGGAAAGCCTTCGATGCCACGACATGCTGGCCGGGAACTTCGAAGGGCGCCGAGGAAAAGGGGGCGCCGCTCTACGGATGGGGGTTCTACTCGCCGGGCTTACATTGCCCGGTTGGGTATGCCACTGCCTGCTCGGCAACGGGAGGGAGCGGCGGAGGGTCTGGCTGGCCGGTGCAGTTCAAGCTTCGGGATGGCGAGACGGCGGTCGGCTGCTGTCCAAGGTTAGTTTGTTTGTCCAACATTGACATGAAGGTCCCTAACGCGGTGCCAGTGGATATGGTTGCGCCAACATCAACGGTCAAACATGCACCATGATGGCTACCTCGACCACGATACCTACCGTCACCTGCGACGGGAATGAAATCGGCGATGGTGCCTCCATGACGGTCCCCAGCGAGGAAGCCTCCATCACAGCGTTCAGCCTACTCGCGCCAATGATACAGATCAACTGGCAGAGCAGTGATCGACCCAAGTCCACAACCAGCTTCCGGGCGAGTGTGACGAAAACGTCAACCACCGGCCGGGTCAGATCAACATCGTCCGAGACAAGTACCGGTGAGACTGAAAGCGACAACACTAGCGAGACCAAGACCAGTGATGGCTCTAGGGGTGAAACTCTCGTCCTCGACGAACACCCTCAGACAACAGGCGGCGAGGTTGACATTGGCGGCGGCGCCCCAACCACCACCCCCACACTCCAAGAGAACGAATCTTCGCCTGATAATGGCGCTATGAGCTCAGGGGCCAAAGTAGCCATCGGCGTGGCGAGTGCGGTGGGTGTCCTCATGGTGCTCGTGTGCGCGCTCTTCTACTGCTGGAGAAAGCGCAAGACGCGGCGGGAAGAACAAGAACTGGACAGGCTGTACGGGCTCAAGCACAGCATGAGTATAGGTGGCGACTTTACAAACAGTAGCGACATCCCCGGTTGGTATCGTGGACAAAGGCTGGCAACGGCGACGAAGGATCCGTTTGGAGTGCACGATGCAAATCACGGTGCGATGATGCCCGAGATGGAGAGACCGGCTGCGCCGTATTACCGACCATATCGGCCGGCGTAGTTTTGGATTTTGTGCGTCATGAATACGTTGAAACTGTACGAATTCTGAATTAAAATAGCGTGACTCGTGAGTCTAAACCGAACCGTTTCAACTTTCAGGCTTCGATACTGAAACGTAAACTTTTGTGTTTGATGCGTCCACTGCCCGGTGAAATGTTTCAGTGGAAAAGCCCTACGGCCCGGGGGAGCAGAGCGTGCACAGACCATGGCTCGTGTGCCAACGGTTCCCCACTGGAGCTCCCCACAGGCACCTTCGTTAGCTCCTCAGCTCCAACCAAGCTCTTTGCTCTCGTCCCATCCCGGGCACAGCCCAGTGCCAATGCATCGGGTCGCATCGTCATCAACAACGTCGCCAATGACTCGCGCAACCCCTTTTCACCACCTGTCTTGCGAACCACCTTCGACATGACACCATGTCAACCGAGTCCACGCGCCCACTCCTGCTACCGCAAAATCGCAAACTCCGACATCTGCGCGGTATTGCCCTGAGGAACGTCGCTTTTTCACGACCCCGCGGGCGCACCATCGATGACGCCGCCCTGAATATTCAAAGCCCCGCGAAGCTCGAGTCGCTGCGGAACCCACCTCCACTACATCATGCGTTGTCATCAGACGATTTGCGACCTCCGACTGGGGGACGTAGGAGCACACAATTGCCTAATGCCAGCCCCGCCACTCGCCAGAAGAAGTTCGAGGATGCCTTCGAGAGTAAACTGGCTGACGCCTTCTTCTCGTTGCACGTCGAGGGAGAAACGGAGGCGATATACATAAGCGAGGTGGAAGAGCGCTCAACGGTATGGTTTTATACGTGGTGGCGAGAAGTAGGTAGTGGGCTTGACTGACTGCCATAGAACTTCAACTTCCGCCTCTTCGAGCTTGCCGACCTGGACTCGCGCATTACGCAATCACCCCAGCTGACGGTCAAGGTCTGGGCAAAGCGAAATGATACATGGACGGCGTTACGGGAGGATGAGGTCGACCTCCGAGCCCTCAATTGGCTCGGTAGTTTGCAGGACGTCCACTTTCCGCCGAACAGCTTGGTCTTCCATTTAGTCGATGGTGTATACTCGCTTGACCTGTCCGGAAAGTCCGCACCGCCAAAGCACACCGCTCCTGCGCCCACATCATCTTACAATGCGCTGATGAGACTGGCGACGCTGGACCATTCGGTCCAAGACGCGCTCGCCACGCGCGAGCTCCTTACACAGCAAATCAACGACCTCCTAGACCGCGAGACGAAGAACGAGGTGCCGGAAGCCGAGGACGCGCTCGCCCTGACGAACAAATATCTGGCGCAGCAACGGCGGGCCGTAGCATTAGCCACGAAGCGGAACGCAGACCTGAAAGCATCCATCGCAGCGCGCAAGGAGGCCATCGCCCAAGGCCGCGCTGCCCAAGCCAAAGCAGCCAAGGACGTGGAAAACGCCACCGAAAAGCTCGCCCAATCCCAAGCCCTCCTCAGCAAAACCAAATCCGACATCCGCGGCCAACGCCGCCGCATCTGCGATGACCTCTCCCGCATCTACAACATCACCCCAGTCCCCCTCGGCCCGCCACTCTCCTTCCAAATCTGCGGCCTCCCCCTCCCCAACAGCACCGCCTACAACTCCTCCTCCTCCACCACCACCACCACCACCACCACCAGTAGCAGCACTCCCACCCCCGCCCCGCCCACCGAAGACGCCCTCTCCGCCGCCCTCGGCCACGTCGCGCACCTCACCGACGCCCTGCAATACTACCTCTCCGTGCCCCTGCCCTACCCCATCCGCCCCTTCGGCTCCCGCTCCAGCATCCGCGACGACATCTCCCAGCTGCCCGACCCGCAGCGCGAGTTCCCGCTGTACGTGCCGCGCGGCGGGTCCGCCGCCCAGTTCCGGTTCGATTATGGCTGGTTTTTGCTGAATAAAGATATCGAGGCGCTTTGTGCGTCGCAGGGGTTGCGGGTGGTGGATATCAGGCATACGCTGCCGAATTTGAAGTATTTGTTGTATGTGTGTAGTGCGGGGAGCGAGGAGGTGCCGGAGAGGAAGAGGGGCGGGGTGAGGGGGCTGTGGGCGGGGCGGATCAGGGGCGGTGGGCTGCTGGGGGATGATGCGAGTAGTTTGGGTGGGGGGAGTAGTCGGAGGGGGAGTGATGCGAGTGAGGTGGCGGGGAGGCAGAGGGAGGAGTTGAGGAGGGCGGCTGTTGGTGGTGGTGGTGCTGGTGGGCGGGAAGTTGGGAATGGGAATGGGAATGGGAATGTGGCGAATGTGAATGGGGAGCCGGGGTTGTTGCCGTTTGCTGAGGGGGGGATGAAGTTGAGCTTGAGGACGAAGGGGTTGAGGGAGAGTGCAGCGCAATGAGACGGGTCTCGGCGGATGTCCTTATTGGGTGCCTAGACGTAAGTAGATATGTCGGGGGAAGAGCGTTGTATTCTGGCTACAGTGTGTCTCTGATGATCAACAGCTTCGAGACATCAATAATCATCGATTTAGAAGGGGCCAGCGACGAGATTCGCATAAGAGCCCTTATCAGCGTTCGACCCCTCCCCGTCCGCCTGACAAGTGGGAAGGATCGTGGAAGGTAACTAGGGGCGGCAACACCAGCTCTATGGTCTATAAGCACTCTATCTGTGATCTGTAGACAACTACAAATAAACACATTCCACCAAACCCAACCGCACCCCGAACCACTCAACAACAGCGGAAACAAGTAACATATGAAAAAGCCCATGTAGCAGAAAACCCACGATAGAGGTCTATCTAATATTCAAGAAGTCTAACTACCCAATGTGTAAAGGGACCAAGAAATCTATACGCTCCTAATAACGAACACGACATTAGTTAGCCTGCCGCTGTCAGGTAGGTGAAAAGGGGAAGGGGCTGGGGTGGAGCATAAAAAAGACAGAGGCCTACCCCTAAAACTCCCACCAACCCAAGTCATCTCCAATTAACAACAAAGGCACCGCTAGGCTTCCCACCAGATCATCAACTGCGATGACTACCACCACGACTCGCGGCATGGCTGCCCCACGAACTGTATGGGGTCAGGTCAGCCTCGGGATAGCCCAGGTCCAACAGGGCCTCGGCGTGCGTCTCCCGTATATCGCGCCACTCGTTGGCGTTCTGGTGCATCGCTCTGGCGACGTCCTCGTGGTTCTCGGTGTTGGGGTTCCCCGTCTGCAGCGCCCGCTTCTCCCAGACTCGGCCGTAGTCCCGGTTGAAGGACTCGCGGCCGAGGGTCTCGCTTTACGGGTGGTGGAAGTTAGTACGCATCGCCTTCTTGGGGGATAGTATGTGAGGTGAAGAGGGTTTGCTTACGCTCTGCGGTGCTGGAAGCTCTGGTGGGCGAGGGAGCGAAGCTCTCGGTCTAATCTCATGGTTGGGTGGTCAGCCAATACCGGAGCCGCGGCGATATGGTTGGCAATTGGACTCACGCTCGGGGATGGTAAAAGTGTTTCCTAGATTGTAATTAGTTGAGTCACCAATGGCAGCGTGAGGCCCGGAAGTGACCCGCTTTCGTGGAGGGATCTGGGCTTTCTTCTCGCTGTAGGTGATGATGGCATCGGTTGCGTTCAGATTGTCGGCACTGTACGCATTGTAACGGTTGTGGATGTCGGTCCCAGGGCGAAAGTGCTCTTGGCTATACTCATCGTATTCCATCTGGTCCGAAAACCCCGACTTGAACGAGGTACGCCGGGTTTGGGGAGCCCCGCGTGCATTAGGACGATTAAGAGACGTAGTGGGCAGTGGGAGGTCCCAGTCTTCCTCCCCACTGGCACGCCCAAACAGGCTGCTCTCCTTGCTTCGGGCGGTCGAGCGAGATCTTCGCCGGCCGGTGAGGGACGGATCACTGCCTCCTTCGAGGGGCCGCGCAGCGGAAGGGTCGGACCCGGAAGAGGAGGTCCCACTGCCAAAGAACTTGGATTTGAACGGCTGATCTAAGGCAGGTGCTGTGGGCCGTCGTGAGATTCCGCTAGGTGCGAATGGATTCTCGTCAAGCGAACCCGAGGTGTGTTCACCAGACCCGGACCACGAGGTACTAGTTCCACTTCGGAACCTGAAAGGATCATGGACCTGTCGTTCTAAACTCGCTGGTCTTGGTCGCCGCGACCTGCTGTCTGGCCCATATCCTAGTGCTTCGTCCGTGCCGAGGTCGAGTGCGAATATGCCTGTGGTTGGGGCGTCGCCGAGACTGATAGATGATCTACGCCGTGACCGGCTGCGGCCCCTGTTATCCACAGGGAGTCCGGTCAAGGTGTACGAGAGAGAACCTGACTTGGAGGCAGAAGGCGGATAACGGGAAGGAGACCTAGAGGTACGGGATGCCGGAGAGGAAAATACAGGGTCCAGATAATTGGGGTCGCGTGTCCCGGGGGTGACGAATGAGGCCCCGGTATGAGCCACGGAAATGCTGGGACGACGGGGTCGGCTGGGGGGACGAGAATGACTGTAGCCACCAAATACGGGGTCAAGCGGGCGGTAGCTGAGTTCAGGTTCTGAAAGCCGAGGTCTACTTTTGCTCCTAGAGGACCAGGATCTTGGCCTGCCGAAGATGTCGTCGTCGTGCCGGCTAGCAGAGCGGCCACGGGGGCTGGGACCCAGCGGAAAAGAACCCGAGTAAGACATCATGGAATGGAAATCAGAGGCAACTTCTCACAGAAACTCCCTTGAAGGCAAGGAGGTTGTGACCAGTGGGAAAAAAAAACGTGCGGTCGAGTTCGAGACGAAGACAGTTGGCTGGATAGGTAGTCAAAGGCGATGCGTCTCTAAGCCATGGACTACAATCGGGTTACAATACACCTTAAGTACCATCCACTCGCTCCAAAAACACAGCAGCAACTTGCCCATGTTTCTGATTTTCTGCCCGACCGAGGCCGCAGTCACCTCGTGTCCAGGAATTTGGGACTAACAGCTGAGGCATCGTGCCCTGTCGGAAGAGTCTAATTAAGTCTGCCATAAGGGCTGAGTAGCGGCGGAGATTGAGAGTCTCCGGGGGCATCCCAGATGGGTACAGGCACGAAGAACGGAAAACGTCGCGTCAACTACCAACGAGTGACAACGACTGGAGTTTACTTGCTGTCGGCGGCCACATGTGCATGGGAGCTAGGCCGGTCCGTCTGCAGCCCGTAAGGCGGGGCGCCGGGCTAAATCCTTTGCCAACAACCGGCCTTTTCATGTTCGGTGTGGTCGGTGTGTGTTCATGGGTGGGTTCGAATTCCCGGAGGGGCTCGGAGGACTCCAACTCCAAGAATCCAGGGTGGAGTTGTGAAGCCCGTTGGGAGTCCAGGTGAGGCGGCTGGATGGATGGATGGAATTTATATCGCCCGGAGGCACTGGGCCTATAGGGCCTTAGCACGCTAACTACATCCGGATCAAAATCGGGTTTGCCTTTAACTCGTACAAGCCCCATACTTCTTCCCTCTTTCTCGCTGCACCATTTACCTCTTGCCTTGGTTGTTGTTAGCAGATCAACTTGGAGGCTACTTTCTCCAAGTGTTCAGCGTCCTATCTTCAGCAGCTAAAGCGGGACCTGCTGGTTAAGGCTCGTGGTTGAGGCTCGTGGTGTTGAGTGTCGGCTTCTTCTACTGTGACTGGTCTAGACTCTCCTCCTCATTCAGCTCCAGCCTTCCTGTTGCCATTGCGTATTTGATCGTCGCCCGGACTGCCTTCATATCTGGTGACCAATGCCTTGTATCTGATGGCGCTTTCCCTCCCAGATAGAACGAGAGGCTTCCTCGTCTTGCCACTGTGCATTGCAGCATGTCTTCCCTCAGAGCTGTCCATCTCACGCATCGGAAAAAGAAAGTGTTCCACTGATTCCCTCGCTTGTCCACAGGCACAAAGGTCTGACTCGACCGCCCCAATCCTGCTCAAAAAACCGTTCAGTCTCGCCATTCCGGTTCGGAGCTGCGCCAATACGCAGGCCTCCCTTCGCTTCAGCTTGTCATAGAGATGGCGCGTGTGCTTGCCTGGTAGTGCTGCGTCCATGGCCTTTGAGAACTTGCCCACGCTTACAGGTAGAACTCTTGTCGCCCGTTGTCTTTCCATTGCCAGCCTCATCGCGGTAGACTTGGCCTGGGGTATTTGGGAGTCGGGTGTGCGTCCTTGCTTCGACGCTCTCTGGGCTGCTGCCTTGGCATCTGACCCCAGCGCGAAGTCAATCTCCGCTGGTATCCACAGAAAGTTGACCGAGTTCCCTCTTTGTCGGTGCAGCCTGGCCAAGTCGTAGATTTGCCGTATGATGCTTTGGCCGGATTGCTGCCGCGGCTGTCCAACTGCTGCCAGCGCTGACTGGTTCCTAGTGATCACGGTGATGTGCCTGTGGCAGATGCTAGCCGGTAACTTCTCCAGGGCCATTGCGATGGCTGCTAGCTCTGCTGTATATGGGTTCTGCTCTTCCCTTGTCCCAAGAACAACAGCATAGTTTGTCACAGTCTCGCTAGTTCTGTTGAAGAGAGTATTCCCGTGCAAGGCCGCCCATGCCAACAATGCCCTTCTTTACGGATGAGCTGGTTGCGATCACGATTCCCGAAATTTTGTTGACCATCTCGGCCGCCTTCCCTCGATCGGCTTCGAGCGTCGGTCGTAGGCGAGGTACCCAGGGCGGGACGGCGTATTCCTGGATTGTCTCCATCCGGTCAACTCGTACTCCTTCAGCCACGCGGGCAATTTTCTGCAGCGGAGATACGAATCGTACGGTGGTCCGGACTTTCTTCATGGCAAGGGGATGCGTTCCGGGCAGCGTGTGGATGTTGATCCACAGACTGGCTGCCGCCTGGGCGTGTCGTTCTCGTACGGGGTAGATGCTCGCTTCAGCTTCCACCACGGCTGTTGCCGCGGTTCGAAAGGCTCCCGTGATGGCCAGGGCCCCGATTTTCTGCGCCCTGTTCAGCCAGCTCAGTGCCTTTTCCCCGCACGCATGCATCCAGACATTGGCAGCGTAGTCCATGACCGGGGCTACTGTCGCAACAAATAGCTGTCTCGCTGTCCGCGGGGAAAGCATCTTCAGCCTCTTCAGGGCCAGAGCGGCTGCGAGGCCCTTAGCTGCCGTCCTAGCAATGTGCTGACTTGTAGCGGCAGTTCGCGATCCATCACGACACCTAGGATTTTCGCACTTTCATTCGGTTTGACCACTTCGCCTTTGACCGAGAACGGTTGTTCTGAAAATCGCTCCATGTTCCTCGTGGAGTGTATGATGGCTGTCTTTTCGCCTTCAAACTGCGCACCGCTCCGTTTCTCCCAGTCAAGGGCTTTGTCGATGATAGCTTGGATTCCAGTGCGGTTCGACTCCGCTGACGGGCCCGTTACCCAGGCAGTGTAGTCGTCCACGAAGGCAATTGCGCCTCCGTTCGCGTCGATCTTGTGCTGCACTAGGTCGGCGTTGAAGAAGAGGAACAACACTGGAGACAGCGGCGATCCTTGCGGAAGACCCGCTTGGGGCAGCTCTTGCCGTCCAGATGTGAACCCGTTTACGGCAATGGTCGCTGTGCGCTTGGAGCAGAAGGCGTCGATCCACTTGACCAGGGGTTCAGGTATCCCTCTTGCCTTGAGCCTCTGGAGAAGCCTGTCTTTGAAGACCCCATTGTATGCGCCCTTGACATCGAAGCTGATCAAACTGAGCACCTTCCTAGCTCTCCATGCTTTGTAGATGTGTTCCTGAAGCAGAAGGAGAGCCTGTTCGGTCGAGCGTCTCTTCCTGGCTCCGAAGTGGTTGGCGGGTAGAAGGCCGCAGGTCTCCACAGCATGGGATAAACGCTCCGCAATGACTGCCTCCAGTATCTTACCCAGCGTGGAGAGCAGCGAGATGGGTCTCCAGGACTTGGCTAGAGTGTATTCGCTCTTCCCTGGCTTCTTCAATGGGATGATCTTGGCATTCCTCCACTGGCTGGGGATGTCGCCGTCTCGAAGCGACGTCCGGAATAAATGGAGCACCCTGTCTTTGACCACTGGCCAGAGCTGTCTCCATACCATTGCCGGTAGACCGTCTTCCCCGGGCGCCTTCCATGGCTTAGCGGACAGGACCTTTTGTTCTATCTCCTCCATTGTTAGGTCTGGCATGTGTACCGGCGCCCGTTGAGGTCGTTGGCCCTCGTCTTCGATTCTCGCTGGCAAAGGTGGGAAGAAGGCGGTGAGTAACTCCTGCGCTTGTTCTGCTTTACCCTCCGTGATGGAGCCATCGGGTCGGACGAGCGGGGGTATCTTATCGCCCATCGTGCCGCTGCCGGTTTGCAGATACTTCGTTGCTTGCCAGATGTTAGCGTCATCGGCCAGGAAGTCGTTCCAATGCGAACTCTTCTGTCTGCGGATGGCGTCGTGGTACTCTTTGGCTGCCATCCTGGCTCGTTGTTCGAGCTCTGGTGCTGTTTGCCCAATCCTACGTCGAGATCTCGCCTGGTTTCTCCAAAACGTGTATGTCTGGCGAAGCCGTGTCAGGTCCGTTGTCCACCACCGCTTGGCGTATGGTGAGGGTTTGGCTTTAGGTGTCAGGCCGTAGACCGCCTCGGTTACCGCTGCCATGAGCCTGTCCGTCTGCTGCTGGACATTGCCGTCCCAGGGGATGCGTTCGAGGTTTGCTGCCACCCTAGTCCTAATTTCCGCCCAGGGCGCGTTCTTGAAGAGGAACCTCGTCTCACTGGGACGGTCCTCCACCGAGGTGTCAAAAGCTGTCTCGATTGCTCTGTGGTCTGAGCCATGGTTCGCAGGGGTGAATCGCGCATCTGAGTAGTTGGTCTGCTAGTTCTGCAGAGGCCAGTACCAGGTCGATTGTGCTCTCAATGTCGCCTGACTGCCACGTCTTCGTGCCTCTTGGGAGGAGGCTGCAGAGGGAGTGTTCGTCCATGAGGTTGATGATGCGGTCTCCCTCGCCTTGTCTCCGTGGTGAGACATCGTCCCCTCCCCAAAGCTGGTCGTGGCGGTTGAAATCGCCCGCCAGGATGATATCCGTTCTCGTCCCTGTTCCGTTTCGAAACCTCCTAATCAGTCGGTCAATTTCCCTCATTGCATCTTCCAGTGCTTCGTCACTACCACCCTCCACATACACTGACACCATCAGCACTGCCCGATCTGGGAGCCGAATGCGTGCTGCGGTGAGGTCTGCCGACGGCACTGGAATCTGCTCGACCTCTATATCGCTTCGTACCCATAGCATGCTCCGAATTGGCCACGTGGTTTCTCGTCTTGTCGTTGGTATAAGCTTCGTCCAGTTGTGATGACTCATTGGGGACCGTCGTCACCGAGCCTTCGATCAGCCTGGGCATATGGTTTCGGAGATGGGCCAGCACTGCGAAGTCCTTTGAGTTCCCTCGTCGTTTAGCAGACTCTGCTGCACTTCTCTCCGTTTGCGGACGTTGAGCTGAAGGATCTTAAGCGTCTTGGGCCCCATTGTTCAACCAGCGTACCCGACAGTTCTTGCTAAATGACTCGTGTGGTCCTCTGCATAGCACGCACTTCAGGACCACGGACTGACACGTCTTGTGGTGGTGACCCTGTTCCGCACACCTTCCGCATCTTTGCGGCTTTTTGCAGGCGAAGGCCTTATGGCCGATCTCCTGGCATCTGTAGCACTGGATTGGGCCTTCCCGGGGCGCGAAAACGGTCGTGTAAGCGGATTCTCCGGCGAGATGGAAGTAACGCCCGTCTAGAAGTCGCCTTGCTTCGCTGCCCTTCGTCACGTAGACAACCATCGAGCCGTAGGCCTTGCTTGTATCCTTCCTGCTGAGCCAGGCAATCTTCGCAATGTTGACGTCGTTCTCTGCCCCTAGCGCCTCTGCGGCTCCCGGCAGGATGTTTCCGTCCGCATCGAGGACCGCTGTTCGGTTGGCATTGTCTACCCTCACCGGGTACAACTGGTCTCTCAATACCCGCACTCCAGGAACACTGATCTTCACTGCCGCTTCCTTGACGAGCTGGACCTCGCCTTCGTCCCTGCAAATTACTCTGACTCGGTCCGGGTTTCGGGCCTCCTTCACAACCGCAGCGCAACGCCAGTCTCCCATGCTTTCCTGTGCCCTGGCCTCTGTCTCGATTGCCTTTCTAATGTCCGCCACCTGGACGTTTCCCTTCTCTTTCTCCTCCACCCTAGATGTATCGATCGTACAGAACAACGTGTCGGTAAAGGATGAAGGCGTCGTGTTTCGCGAGGAGAGGGTGCGCACACCGCTTGGCTGGCTTGATGGTGGGGTGCGAGCGACTTCGGCGTATGACCCTCTTGCGCTTGGTTGGGACGAAGCCATGGCTACCGGGTGGCGTTGAAGGGTATCAATCTGATCCCGCGCTTGTCTCAGTTCTTCAGAAAGCTGGGTCCTGGTGTCTGCAAGTTGGCGATGTAGTTCTTGAATCGCGTCGTGCTGCTTGCAAATCACCTCGCGTAGTTCGCCAATCGTGTTTCGCTGCTCGGTAATCATTCGGTACATTTCGTCTCGTTGTTCGTTGATCGCCTCCAGGAGCATCTGTATACCTGACTTCCCCGTCTCGATCCGGCTGTTGGCTCCATATAAAATCCCAGACGCGCGTGCTCCTCGCGTCGTAACCGCCCGCGTGGTCTCGCTCGCCGCTCTCCTCGACGTGGTAGCCACGTCCTCGAGCGATTGCATGGCTTCGCGAGCTTTCGCGCTCGGTTTCAACGCGCGGCTCGGTCGTCTCGGCGAAGGTGGTTGGTCGGCCACCTCGACCACGATTTGGGGCTGCGCCTCCGCCGCCATCTTGCAGTCCCTCGGCAGTGCCGCCCGACTTTCACAAAAGCTTCCTGGTCTCGATCGCCTCTCGCCGATGAACCTCTCCCTTATTTTTCGAATGCTCGTTCGTCTTTTCCAGGTGAGGCGGCGCTTACCAAGTAATCGGCGGCGGTAAGGGCCCCACCATACAATCCATGACAGCCAACCGAATGGCGGCTTCTATTGGGGGTTAAATTGGGAATGTTGCAGGTTGTGCAGGTGTTTCTCACGCCCAGGCTTCCCGTCCCCGTGACTCAACCTTGACGCCGTGCTCATCGGGTCCTCATGTTGTCAATCATCACAATGGCTAATGGTGCTCCTCGGGTATTCCTAGCTTTCTGTTCCAGCAATGATTTAGGTGTGACTCTTGCTCGGATCACCTGCCATTAATTACCTAATTTGCCATTACTTCAAACCTGCCCTGTTCACCGACAAAAAACCCATTCCGAGCTGGCATCGCTGCCAGGCATCCGACCCTGCGACGAAACACCATTCTGGTTTTATCATCATGGCCACGCCAAATCACGCCTTTTTTCCGGATGCCTTTGCATCTGCTCTCCTTTATATTATCGCAATTGGACAACACGCCGTCCCTAGCATCCGCCATATTTAGCCATTCATCCTTCTACGCCGCCTTCGACGAGGACCGTGGTAGGATTATGCGAACCATTGTTCGTAACCAAGATCCCGAGCGAGAGCCCGGGGTTATGCTCTTTCTGCGTATCTCGCAGCGTCCAGCGACTTGGGTCGCTGTCACGAGATGGATCCCGTGGTTTTTTTGTCCGTTACATGGCTTTTCCCTTCGAAGATACTTGGGTGAATAGTTGGAGAGATATACTTAACGTGTTGGACCAGCCAGCCCCTGTCAATGTGGGCGCCGCGAGCACGCTGAGCAAGACGCACGCCATGATCGAGAGTTTTGCCCGAGATTTCATACAGGACACCCTACCGCTCGCTGACAGGGAAATCGGGCTTGAACGGGAGGACAAAACAACTGTCTCTAGTGACGAAACCTTTCGGATCCACCGCGCCATGTACCGATACATGGTGTATTGCAACCTATTTCGACACCCATCCGACACTCCTTTGCGCGGCGGGCTTGAGGCTGCTATCAGTCTCTACTTCTCTCAGAAGTTTGCCCCATGGGTTAACGAACAACTTGCCTGCGTCCATGATTATTTTGAAAGGGTCTTGTCCCGAGGTGAGTCCGTCATTGAATAGGTACCAACCTAGCTACATACCCACGCAATCCCGGGAGGCATCCATCTCATTATCCACAACGGTGCTTACTCTGGAGTCTTCGACAGCATTCGATGAAGTCGCTGCCCGCGATGTCGAATGGGGTTACAAGTCCATAGGCTGGCGCACGATGGCCGACCAGAACCAACACAAACAAGGATATGTAGGCCTTGTCCCATTTCAACCGTGTACTGCAGCGCTTTATTAACATGACCTTTTTCAAAGCTTTTACGCGGCTTGGAATTTCTTTACAAGCTCCACCAAGCAAAAACCTACCGAGAACGGCGCGAGATTCTCGGAGGCCCAGTCCCACCCACAAACCATATGCTTGGGACGACCCTCTGGAAGTTCGGCTCAACGGCTTCCCATTGGCTCGACTGGGATTTCTTCTGGGAGCATCTTGACACACCTACTCCCTCGGTTGATCTTGGCTGGTTCACGAACGGGCCAGATGTTCACGGGTCAAGTCCCTTCCGTATGTGGCGGGCATCCCACGAGGGCTGCTGGCGGCAGGACGTCGTTGCCCATGTGGACCACACCTGGCTGCGGCGCTGTGGCTACGTCTTTTGGGACTTTCACCAGTCTCCTGTTACTGACAGACAGCTCAGGCGCTTTATCTCTCGAGGGAGGCGGAACGCGTGGCTTGACCGCTTTCGGCGCAACGACGGCGAGTTGAAGGGCAAGATGAGGCGTTCACGGAAGGAGCGAGCTGAGATTTACCGGCGTGGAGGACGGGGATATTGGAGTGAAGGGGATTTGAGTCAAATTGTTTGGACGGAAGGGGCACCGAGTTGACCTGTAGGTTTCTTGGGTCCATTAAAGAAAGCTTCAAAGCAGTACTGGGCAGGTCAACCCGCTTCAGAGATACCCAATTCACAAAATTCCTGATTGCAGGCGAAAATTCCCGCATTCTCGTGGTCCAAGCCAAAACAGTTTCTGGTAGCGATGCCTAGGTTTGGAAAGGTGCGCTCCGGCTGATATACGCCAACGGTTTTTCCGAGCTAACGAACCCCGATTTCTGCAGCTCTCACCAACCGCTTTTCGGTTTATGAAACCTCAGCTTCAACAGAAACCATCTTACTGTAAGAGGTTGAATAGCGGTTGGTCGGGCTCCAGACTTGACGGAAGTTCACGGTCCTTCAAAGTTCTGCCACGACAGACATACCATGTGCGGTTCGTTGCCACGGGCCTTTCATGGGCCGTCGCCATGGGAAACGCCTGCACGAACCAAATCTCCGACGCATGGAGGTGGGGGGCCGTTTCTGGTTTGACAGGTCGGACGGATGCACTCAAACTGCAAGTGGACCAAAAGGTTGCTGACCAGCATGCCTCAACCAAACCAAGAACACCCAAGAAGGGATCTCACTGGTCGAATCCTTCCCGCCCAAGCTCTAAAAGCGAATCGCGCCCCTCTTTGTGTGCACGGATGATCAGTGACTGACGTTGTCGATCGAGCAGTTGCTGCAGTTCAGGCGAAAACGTTCGTCGTTCGTCCCAATCTGTCACAAACACCATTCTTGGTTGCAGAAACGATGCAACCGTGCCGCCAGTCCGCCCTACCAAACCGTGGGCCGGGGGTGCCACCCCTGACTCTGCCCCTGACCTCTATCCTCGCATCCTTTCGGGACTTGGTTAGCTATGGTCTATGAAAGCTGGTGGGTGAATCTGACGACTTTTAGCGGTCGATCATACCATCTTAACTGCTTGATTAATCGTTGTACTCAGATCTCATCTCAAGTTCCATGTTAATTCCGTCGTTCGATCTGAAGGTCATATCACGTCAATGTCAACAATGGAGCTTCGTGAACCACAGTCGGTTGATAAAGCTTCGAGCATGTAAGAGCCCTGTAATCGCCTCAGAACGGCAGCTCAGAACTGCCGATGCTAAGGGGCCGGAACCGAGCTCAGCTCCTCCCCCAGACGTCTCGCCCGCCCACAATACGTTACATCCCCAGCCGTCCCGCATCTTGACAGGCAGGGCTCGGCACTAGCTAGCACGACGCCCATTTTTGCGGACCCGCTGCCAACAGAAATTAACTCCGCTATCGCCTAAGTAGGGCAGACGCCCAAGCTCGTGTGTGATCCTCAAAACCTGGTTTCCCGGGTCCTTGACTTCTTGCATCTTGGCAACACAACAACGATCCGTCACAGACACCGTCTTTTTCTCGTAGCGACTGGGCGACCGTTGCTCCGAGTCGTTGTCTGGACAGTCAAACAAGTAAGAATGTTACTTCGGCGTCATAGCCAAAGTTCTTACGCACCGGGTTACACCATACCGACATGAGCGACGCCGAGCAACGCCCGCCCGGGAGACCGGCGCCCCAGCCGGCGTACGTCCCGCATGATTCTCGCAAGCTCAGATCATCATCTCGAGGAAAGTTTGCTGGTTCTTGCCGCCTTCTTTCCGGCTGCGGCTCTCCGCGTGGGTCTTTCCGGGTGCTTGGGCCGTCGTTGGGCGTCTCCTGGCCCTGGTCTGTCTCCGAACTGCACTGTACTGCTGGCCCGACAGCTAAGAAGCATAGATCTTTGCAGGAGCGACTTGTGGCGGTATCATAGAACGTTCGTATGCCTCGTCTTGCCTCCTCGACTCACGCTAACTACCTTGACCAGAGGCCATCCACGGTGCCGGTCATCATGTTTGGGACCTCGATCCTAACGACACGGCCTCCGCCCTGGCCTGGGGGAGAGTGAGCTCCCGCCGAATCTTACAAAAGTAGCACTGTGGCTGACAAAACCCAGGCAGCGTGGTACGGCATCCTCTTCTACTCGCTCTCGCTATGCTTCTCAAAGATAGCCATCCTCCTCCTCTACATCCACCTCTTTGCCTTCAAGTGGGGCACGCTTGGCCGGACAGATCCTATTCGGCATTGTGGTTATATCGCACATCTACATGACTCTTGTGACGTTTACCGCCTGCATCCCGTTGTATTCATATTGGGATTTTCGGGTTACGGAAAAGTATTGCCACCCGCAGAGTATATGGTGGTCTAGCACGGGGATGCACATGGGTGAGTTACTATGAGCGTGTGGTCAACGCAGGACTAGGGGTTCGACACTAACGACAAGATAGTAACCGACTTCCTCATCTTCCTCCTTCCGATGCCCGTCGTCTGGTCGATCCGACTACCCCGCCGACAGAAATACATTCTCTCCGCCGTGTTTGGCTTCGGTTTCATGTAACGGCAAACACCCCCCTCCCGCACCATCCTCTCTCTGCCACCGAACGTGTGCTCCCATTTAATACAGAGGAGTTTACGCAGGCAACAGTCCTAATTTTGGCCACCTACCTAGATAGGCGAACAACGTCCGATCGGGTTGCGCTGGAGCACAACACCACACACCTCACAGCCGAGAAAAGAAATCTCTGCACTCACTGGCCCCCGCCCCGCCCGAATGTTGTAAAGGGCCGGTAGGTTAAAGGTAGTAATTCGACTGGTTGTTTTTCCA